CAACATGGTTGCACAAAGATCTTTCTGATAAACTGAAAGACAAAAAGTACAAGTACAAAAAATGGAAAGAGAGACACATAAACAAAGGCTGATTATCAGCATATAGCCCGAATCTGCAAAGATGAAGTCAGAAAAGCTAAGGCTCAGAATGCAACAAAAATCAACATATAAATAACAAGAAAAAAATCAAGGAAACAGTAAATCCACTTAAAAGAGAAGATGGCAAGGAAGTAATGCAGTAGACAGAAAGCAGAGCTGCTTAACTTTTTTTGCATCAGTCTTCACACATAAAGAAACTATAGCCCAACCTATCAAAAGCCTAACTGTAAAAGACAGACTAGAAATAAAAATTTTAAAAAGTAAGAAAATGGTTAGAGAACACCTATCTGATCTTGATGAATATAAATCACTGGGACCTGATGGTTTACATCCCACAGTTCTGAAGAAGCTGGCAGATGTTATCTCAGAACTATCATACATATCTTTCAAAAATCCTGGAACACCGGGGAATTACCTGAGGATTGGAAAAGAGCTGATGTGGTTCCCATCTTCAAAAAAGGGGGAAAAACAGACCCAGGAAACTACAGACCAATCAGCCTAACATCATTACTCAGGAAGATACTGGAAAAGATAATAAAAAAACAGATCTGTGAACATCAAGAAACAAATAAAGCTATAACTAAAAACCAGCATGAGTTTGTTAAAAACAGATCATGCCAAACCAATCTTATTTTGTTGTTTGACAAAGTAGCTAAATTAGTAGAGCAACAAAATGCTGTAGACATAGTATACTTAGACTTCAGTAAGACATTCAACAAAGTAGACCACAATCTACTCCTTGGTAAGTTAGAAAAATGTGGGATAGACAGCATCATCACCAGATGGATTTGTAACTGGCTGACAAACTGTACTCAATGAGTCGTCCTTAATGGTCCTACTACATCTACATGGAGGGAAGCAAGCAGTGAGGTGTCACAGGGTTCCGTCTTAGGCCCAATACTCTTCAATATCTTCATAAATGACTTAGATGAGGGAATTGAAGGGGAACTCATCAAATTTGCAGATGACACTAAGCTGGCAGGAATAGCCCACACCCCAGAAGACAAACTCAGAAGACAAGCTGCATAGGCTCTCAGTGTACATACAGACACTGAGTGATAAAGTGATAAGGATCATAAATCATAAGATATAATAATCATAAATCATAAGATACAAACAACAAGTGATAAGAAATACAAATGACATACTCAATAATTCCTCTGTAGAACTGTATAAGCAGCTCCTTGGGCAGTCTGAGCTGGTAGAATAGTAGAGCCTCTCCTAAAATCTACTATCATCTCTACAGTTTTAAGAATGTTCAGCTCCAGATTGTTCCAACTGCACTTCAGGGCCTGTTGTTCTACCTCCCATTTGTATGCAGACTCATCATCATCTCGAATGAGATCAATGACTGTTACATCATCTGCAAACTTCAATATTTTAACAGAGGAGTCCTTCAAGATGCAGTCATTGGTATATAGAGAAAAGAGTAATGGAGAGAGATCACGCAGCCCTGGGGGAGCTCCTGTGCTAATTGAACAAGTATTCAATATGGTTTTACCTAACTTAGCTTGCTGCTTCGTTATCTGTTAGAAAGCTTATAATCCATCTGCAAGTGGATCAGGCACAGCTAGCTGAGTCAGTTTGGAGAGGACGATTTCTGGGCCCCAGGATGTTAATAGAGCATTTGAAGCAAGAAGGGACATAATACTTTCCTGGCCTGATTGTAGAGCATTCAATCCCCTTCCTCTTTGGCACAACGGAGTTGTTTGAGTTTAACTGTGAACCTAGGTTTATTATTAGTGTATATGCGTAAGGTTTTGGTTGACACACATTGGTCCTCACAAAAGCTAACGTATGATATCATAGTCTCACTGAGTTGATTCAAAACCACTGATGAGCTCTGGAAATGCTCCAGTTTGTGCAGTCAAGGCAAGCCTCTTCAGTCCAAGATTTCACTTTTAACTATTGGTTTTATGATTTTAAGTCTTTGTCTATAAACAGGTACAGTGATCAGAGTGCCCCAGAGTGCTCTTAGTAACAAGCGATAAGCATCTTTTAATATTGAGTAGTGGTGGTCTAAAATATTATTGCGTCTAGTGAGAGCTGACATGCTGAATGTATCTTGGCAGCTCTGAATCCTGGCTTCGGTTAGCACTGTTAAAATCTCCTACTACAATGAGTAGTGAGTCTGGATATCTCTGTTCAGCCCACAGGATTTGGTCAGCTAAGGTTGCAATGCTTTGTTTATGCAAGCTTAGGATGGTATGAAGGCCACAACTAGTATAAATGAACAAAACTCATGAATGTCATAGAAGGGTATGCAATTAATGAATGGTACCTGTAAGGCCATATCACATAACTTCTTTAGTGTAGTAACATTTTTATACCATCAGTTAATGAAATAAGGTTTGTTTTGCTTGATATGTTCTTGATGAAGCCAGGTTGGCTTCTGGTTATAATTTTGTTTGCTTCTAGGTGTTGGCAGATTTGTTGCTTATTATCTTTTCCAAGATCTTCCCAAGTATTGATGTCAGGCTAATTGGTCTGAAGTTTCCTGGATTGTTTTCTTTCTCTTTTTTGAAGATGGGAACAACATCAGCTCATTTCCAATCCTCAAGTAGTTCCCTGGTACTCCAAGAATTTTAAAAGATATGGATCAGTGGTTCAGAGATCATGTCTGCCAGTTCCCTCAGAACTCTGGAATGTAATTCATCAGGACCCGGTGATTTGTCTAGAGTTGAGAGGTGTTCTCTTACCCTGTGTTTGCTTATTTTATTTTGCATTCCTATTCTAATTTTTTCAGTTCTATTTTTGGTAAGTTGGATCGTATTATCTTTTTTAGTGAAGACAGATGCCAAGAATGAGTTAAACAGTTCTGCTTTCTCTCTACTCGTCATTACTTTCTTGCCATCATCTCCCATTAGTGAACCAATTTCTTTGACTTTTATCTTGTTTTTTTATATTTTGAAAGAAACTTTTTAAATTGTTGTTGATATTTATTGAAAGTCTTACTTCATTCTGAGCCTTAGCTTTTCTAACTTTGTCTTTACAGGTTCAGGCTATTTGTTGGTATTCTGCCTTAGTTATGTATCCCTCTTTCCAGTTTGTCCGAGAGTTCTTTGTGCAACCATAATGGTTTCTTCTTGGATTTCTTGTTTTCCTTTTTCAGTGGTATTGTGCTGGACTGGGCTTTTATGATCATATTTTTCAGTTTCCCAAGCTTCTTGAGTTGGCTTCCCCTTTAAGATTTTGATCCATGGGATCCTTCCCAAGCTTTTTCTGAGTTCATCTTTTAAAGTTCTAAGACACTGGTTTGATTATGTTGTTACTTGTGTGTGTATTGTATTCTTTGTGTTGTATTGTTTTATTGTATTGTGTTGTAATACAATTTTGTATGGTATTGTGTCTATATTATAGTCTATTGCTTGTGTCTGATGCTTAGCATGTTTTGAGATCAGGTCTCATTATCCCCAGCAATATGGCCAATGACTGGAGAGGATGGGAGTTGTAATCCAGTACATCTGGAGGCCAGGAGATTGATCACATTGAGATGAGCCATCCTTTCCTAGCTATGTTCCCAATAGTTGGGATCCAGCTGAGGCCATTCTAGCTTTGCCTGTAACTAGGATGGATCAGGAATCGTGTGCTCTTGGTCCAATTTGCTATTTTGCTGATGAACTAAGTGACTAAATTGTATTGATTTTGCATATGATCTCAGAGGATTAAATCACATCTAGCTTTATATTTTCCTCAGTGACTGGGAGCAGCTTTTTTTCCAGCCTTATCTGCAGCTTTAGCTTGAGTCCGCCTACACCCAAAATATGGTTTAATTCAGAACAGCCTTGCTCTAAGAGATCAGGTTTCTTAATCTTTAAATCATGAGGAAGTGTGGTTTTCAGCCACTTTTAGGGCAATAATTACAAAACAATATTTTGTGTAGAGTAAGACAAGAAAAAACTGGGCATATGTGACAAAACAGAAAAAAAGAGGTCTACTGTTGCCAGTCTTCCAAAAATTGAAAATATCCTCCCCCCCCCCTTTTTTTTTTCTTTTTGCAAAAATCCTTTAAAACTCCTGGAGGGACAAGTGATTTAATATCTGGAAGCTTTTAAAGTGAATAGACCATGTTTCCTTCCTAACTTTAGCAACTTTAAGATATGTGGACTATGCTGGCTGGGAAATTCAGGGAGCTGAAGTCCATATATCTTAAAGTTACTAAGATTAAGAAACACTGGACTAGACCATAGGCTGTTTCAGTTCATATGGTCTTGGCACTTTCTGAACCTGCTGAATCCTGCTTCTAGCTTGTTCCTCAGATTTTCCCCAAGGCAAATTGAGCTAAGGAAAATGAAATTTTCCGGCAAGGCAGCACTGAGCTCCTTGAGGGTTGGCAATGGCTCACGCCCTGCTGTTCCTTCCGCTTTCACGTGGGGCAGAGTTCAGTCTTGGAGGTGGGACTGAGATATCCTCCCTGCTATAAAATCTTCCGCTGGTAGTGAGCTGAAAGTGCCAGAAGCAGCAGTTTTGCAGACAATGCCTCATCAACAGAGCGATAGTCTTCATGCCGGAAAGGTAAGTGGTCTCGGATCTTGGGGCAAGAAGCCATTAAGGGCTGGAAGTAGGAATTTGCACAGTTCCATGATCTAAATAGGGATTTTTGCCTATTTCCCAATTTGTGTAGGATCTTTCACTGCATAGCCTTTTCTTTCTGAAGACTGCCCTGTCATGAGCATGTTTAAGAGGATGATAAGTTTAGGTGAAATTAACCTATTAATTAAAAGTTAATATATCTCACAGTGACCTGGTTTCAGTAGAAGAGAATGTTGCTCCATGAAAATGATACAATATAAAACCTGTGAATCTGTGGTGGAAATGTTTTGCCCTTCAGTCTTGATCCTGTGGAAGGGATCTGCCATTGTTTTATGGATGTTACTTAACGAATCCTCCACCTTCTGTAGGGTCTCATTCTTGGATCCTTTGCCAGCTACGGTGATGATGAACCTTCTCAGTTGTCTGATGCAGGAGAGGCTTTTGACAAACAAGTCAATGGGAAGCTGAAGGAGTTACTGGCCATGTAAGCAACTGGTTGCATTTCATTCTCTTTATTAAACTGTTGCAAAATGACAGGAAAAATATTTGGCCTTAAGTATATTTTGCAGGTAGCTGCAGAAGTTTTTCCCTTTCTCTACATTCATTTTTTTTTTTTTTTTTTTGCCATTCAAATAATGCCGATTCTATTTCCCCCTCTGTTTGCAAGGAAGCCACCTCCCTTTTTTGGGCTTGGCCAAAAGTCCATTATATCAGGTGTTCTCAATTTCAAGTTAAGAGCAGGTGACTAGAAAAGAGAGGTGGGCTAACAGTCATAATCAAACGGGTCCTGTAACACTTCAGATCTGATTCCCAAAAAGTTTGCATACAGGTGCCTTGATGAACCTGAATATAATGTTCATATAAATTATGCAACTCTTTTTTCAGGAGAATGCATGTTCTTTTTGTAGCTGCCATGAAGTTCCCCAAAAAGATTTGTTTTAAAACACTGCTGTTTTACATGCATGGCCCTCTGAAGCATCTTTTGGAAGAGAATCCGAAGTATGCATAGCTTTAATGGTTCACTGATTAGAATCTGGTGATTAGCAAGTTACTAAATGATGCTAATATCTTGTTCATGTTGGATGTTTTTTATAAAATCAAAGTGGGGGCTGTGTGAATGAGGATTTAAAAAGTAGAACTTAGATAATGATAAAGGCTTTATTGATGCAAATGAATTATTGGTGGAGACAATGGTAGGCCTGATTGGTTCAAACCTCTTGCGAACCTGAGAACCACTTGATTTAAAGCAGTGGTTCTCAACCTTGACAACTTTAAAATGTGTGGACTTCAACTCCCATGTTGGCTGGGGAATTCTGCGAGTTGAAGTCCACACATCTTGCCAAGATTGAGAAACGCTGATCTAAAGGCTTTATCTCATCATCTGCTGTTCTAGAGAGAGTCTCTCTCTCAGCATAAAACAAGAATCCTGCCATTCACAGGTTGATTTATTGAGCATATTTACTTTCCACTATAATCAGAACCTTAAATACATGGATAGAAGGAACACTTACTGTAGGGGTAAAACCACATAGAAGCCTATTCTAGGAAAGCTTCACAGGCTAATTTTCTGATCCAGCTGCTGTTAGTGTGAGTAGACAACATCTGTTTTGTGTCCTATTCTAGTTCTGGGCCACCTCTGAAGAAAGGAAAGACCCGCATCTTTCATGGTTTGCATCAGGTAGGAGATAAATATTTAACTAATTTAACCATGTGCCTCTTAATTTTTAAAGGTTTTGGGTTTTTTTGCTGGAAGAAGAGTGGTGGAGCTTTGAGGATTTCCTGTTGAATTTTGAGGAAGAGAATTAGACACTTAAAATATCACACAAATATGACAGTGAACTGAAAGTTCCCATAGTACTTTTTTCTTTCTCCCTAATAAAAATAGATTCTTCAGAACTATCTTTCTCATTGGTAAGGTTTATAGAACAGTAGCAACCCTTTCTGGAATAAAAATGTGTACATCCCATAGTTTTTTCAGTGTAGAGCTTGGCTTCCTCTCTCAGCTTGTTCTGACTTCATAAGAGGACAGCAAAACCAGGATTGAAGCGAAGACTGAGAATCAAGTGATTATGGTAGTTAATGCTGAGAAGGTCATCTAGAGATAGAAGATGGAAAGTTTGTGGATTAATTAAAATATTTGTACAGGTAGTCCTCAACTTAAATCATTTGTTTAATGACTGTTTGAAGTTACAGCAGCACTAAAACGGTAACTTACAACCAGTCCTTGCATTTACAACTTATCATATCAACCCTATGGTCACCGATCAAAATTCGAGCACTTGGCAACTGGCATGTATTTATGATGGTTATAGATCATGTTATCACCATTTGTAATCTTCCCAGCCCGCTTCTGACAAGCAAAGTCAATGGGACAAGCTGAGTTTGTCTAATGACCACATGATTTATTTAACATCTGCAGTGCTTCACTTAACAGCTATGGAAAAAAGGTCATAAAATTGGACATGAATTACTTAATCACCACCTTGCTTAGCAATAGAAATTCTGATCCCAACTGTGGTAAGTCAAGGACTATCTATATAGCTGCCTGTCTTAAAAACTGCTCTGGTTGGCTTACAACCAAGTTTCTTAGCAGTGAGGAACCTGACCTTTCACTGTGCTTTGAGATAGCTTTGGGTCATTCACTTGGCAGCACTCTGAATGCTGAGTTCCAGAGTACATTGAATGCAGCCCTAGGTTCCAGGGCTTCTAAAGTTGACTTCCAACTCTTCAAATATTGGCTGTGAAACTTGATCTCTTAAATGACACTTGAGAATTTAGCTAAGGGACTGTGGCAAACTGTTTCTGGGTGTGAAAGCTCTGATGAAAGCCATGGGGCAGGTCCAGGGAAGCAACAGGGTGACTCAGTGTTCCAAAAAGGAAAGCACTGCAAAGATCAAAATCTTTGACTAAAACTAAATCTAACAGTTGAAAATGACACCACAGTTTTATTTGTGAAGAACAAAAAGGTGAAGAGTGGATTTGGTGGTTGATGTGATTTTGTGTTATTAGAGATGTCAGTTTATGATGCTGGTTTATAATCGCCTTCCCTGTTTTCTGTGTGTAACTCTTATATTTAATCATGCTCCTGGGTTGTGTTACTTTATCTGTATCTTCCTATCCTGATCAAAAGCTGTAGTGGGATAGTGGTTAGAATGCAATATTGCAGGCTAATTCAGCTCACTGCCAGGAGTTCGATCCTCACCAGCTCAAAGTTGACTTAGCCTCCCATCCTTCCAAGGTTGGTAAAATTAGGACCCAAATTGTTGGTGGCAATATGCTGACTTTGTAAATTGCTCTGAGAGTGTTATAAAGCACTATGAAGTGGTATATAAGTCTACCGCTATCCTTGTTCAAAGCAGTGAACCATCCCAACATCTGAGGTTGCAGTTATGTGTTTAAAAGATCTGATACCGTGTACTCTATTAATTGTTTAAAAAACAAAATAGCCTTCCCCTTTTAGGATTTTCTTGCAATCATGTGCCATCCTGTTGCTTATCCTTTTTCCATTAATGCAACAGGTTAGATATTGGATATTACAGAAAACATTTTCATTCCTTGGAATATTCTTTGGAGAGCATTTATTGCATATTACTAGTTTAGTCTTCCCGTCAGAGATATTTTAAAATGTGAAAGAAGTAAATGCTAGATTTGGTCTATTCTTGAAAGACATTATTTGAAGTTCTAGTTGGTTGACTTTTTTAAAAAAAATAGGAAAAATTAATTGATTTTCTCTTCTGTTTTGTTACAGGCCTTTCCAAATGTAGTAGTTGTTGGTCTGGGAAAGAAAGCAATGGGAGTGAACATAGATGAAAACTGGAATGAAGACAAGGAAAACATACGGGCCGCTGTGGCAGGTTAGCAAAATTAAAACATTAGTTTTGTGTTAATGTATAATCTCTAATATTCCTTTCATAATGAGTGCAATCTGTATTTTAAAAGGTTGTTTCCATTTGTCAAGCTTAGTAGCTTAGATGGCAGTTATGGGTCTCCCTTGGGTTAAATGCTGCTGGACTTAAAGTCCATGATTTTAATTTACAAGAGATCAGACCTCTGCAACCATAAGATGTACACATAAGGGAATTTCAACAGCTTGAATGACAACTGGTAGAACTGCCTGTTCATCACAAATGTGATGGGTGTGTAAGATCCTTGTCCTTGGCCCCATGAGGGAAGGCACGGCAGAATCCAGCCCAAATGCAAAATGTAAAATCTCATATTTTCAACTATCCCACCCTTTGCAGCCTTTAGAACCAAAACTGGCATAGCAACTGGTTTGTAGCCTTCCATAAAAGAGTGAGTGATCAAAGAGAATGCAACCTAGAACTAATGAGAAATTCCCTGACAGTGAGAACAATTAATGAATGGAACAGCTTGCCTACAGAAGTAATGGGTGCTCCTTCACTGGAGGTTTTCAAGAAGAGAGCCATTTATCTGGAATGGTATAGGGTTTCCTGCTTGAATAGGGGATTGGACTAGAAGGTCTCCAAGATCACTTCCAATTCTGTCCTGTAATTCTGTAATTTCATTTTTCTGTTACTTAGTGGGCTGATAAAGTAGCCTTGGCAAAATTGAGTTTTTAACATGACTAAACAAAGGCGCATATTGCAAAAATTGCTTTTTTGATGTATTGTGTACTTTGGCCAGATGAGATTGCTCAGTCATCATTTTCTAACATGAGAAAGTTGGGCAAGGCACTTAACCATTCTTGAATTGCTTGTAGGGAGTTGCTTCTAGATAACTCATTTAATTGTCATATAATTAATCATTTTCACTTCAGAAAGCTTTGATTGCAGAAATGATTGTCTTGGCTGATTTTTACTCCTTGTGGCAGGATGTGTGTTCACTAGAATACTCCTCCTTGGTTCTGTTTGGTCATAATTTTTCCAGTGTGTGTTTTATTGCTTAGCTGGATGCAGGCAGCTGCAGGACCTAGAACTTCCTTGTGCTGAAGTGGACCCTTGTGGAGATGCTCAGGCTGCAGCTGAAGGGGCTGCCCTCAGCATCTTTGAATATGAGGAACTGAAGCAAAAAAAGAAACCCACCCTTGAAATTCAGTTGCATGGCAGGTAACCAAGACATGATGTTGGTATGGTGCTTCTGTTGCAGAAATAATTTGTTTACCATGAAATGTTGAGAAATAAAAGGCTGTTGAGTGAAGTCTTTACTGAAAGTCACCATTAAAACTTGCACTTAAATGAATAAATCATTTCCACATGCAAACATGGTTTATACTTCAGCAGTGATCAACCAGTGAATCAAGAGCATCTCTCAATAGAGGGGGAGGGATATGATATCATCTATCTCCAATCTACAACACAGTCTTTTCAGCAGTACCAAGAAGGCTCCACACCCATTTGCACCACTAAGGTGACCTTGAGGACAGAGATAAACCTCCAAGTGGCCTCAATGACCAGCTGTAAATATAAATCCTTCCATTCCCCACCATCCAGTCAGAGCTGAAGAAGCTTCTTGGATGAGAAGCAAAATGTCTTCAAAGAAAAACAAGAAAGTCCAGTTTCCTCCTGAAAAAACACCTTTGGGACAACCATGACCTGGATGACTAAGAATCTTCATAGACACTTGCTTGTAGTTATTTGCAAATTTGTTGCTTGATTATCTTTTCTAGGATCTTCCCATATATTGATGTCAGGCTGATTGGTCTATAGCAGGCATGTCAAACTCGCGACGTCGTGACGTCACGTGACATATCGCAACTTTTTCCCCATTGTTGGCAATGGGGTGGGCACGGTTTTGGCATGATGCATCCAGCCCGTGGGCTGGCAGTTTGACATGCCATGTCTATAGTTTCCTGGATCTGTTTTTTTTTCCTTTTCTTGAAGATGGGAACCACATCAGGTCTTTTCTAATCTTCTTGTAGTTCTCCAGTTTTTTAGGATCTTTGAACGATGTGGTTTAATGGTTTTGGTATCTCTTCTGCTAGGTCCTTCTGTACTTAGGATGTAATCCATCAAGTCCTGGTGATCTGAACTCATCTAGAGCAGTCAGGTGTTCTTTTACTATTTCCTTGCCTATTTTAATTTGCATTCCTAGTCTGTCTTTTGCAGTTATGTTGGGCTGTATTTTCTTTTTGTGTAAAAACACATGCAAAGAATGAATTGAGAAGTTCTGCTTTTTCTCTGTTACCTGTCATTTCCTTACCGTTTTCTCCTATTGCAGTGGTTCTCAACCTTTTTAATGCCGCGACCCCCAACCGGTCGTAAGTCGAGGACTACTCAACTGGTGCAGCACCGTTTGAAGAATGGGACTTTTGGTGGGCTCAGCAGGGCAGAGACAGCCTGGACAATTCCTATTGGCTTTTGAAAGCCAATAGAATTAGACTCTATTCAAGAGAGTCTATTCTATTGGCTTTCAAAAGCCAATAGAATAAAAGGGAGTAGCACAGCTAAGGAAAAGGGGGAAAAAATGGCGGACTGCTTTGTTTGGCGACCCCCGTGAAATGGTCGTTCGACCCCAAATGGGGTCCCGACCCACAGGTTGAGAACCACTGTCCTATTGGTTAGATGATTATTTCCTTGACCTTATTACTATTAATATTTGAAAGAAAAATTATTATTATTATTATTATTGACATTTATTGCAAATCTTATTTCATTCCAAGCCTTAGCTTTTCTGGTTTCATCTTTGCAAGTTCTGGTTATTTGTTGGTATTCTGTCTTAGTTATGTGTCCTTTCCATTTTCTGTATTTATCCCTTTGTCTTTTAGTTTATCAGAGAGATCTTTGTGCAACCTTGCTGAATTCCTTTTGGATTTCCTGTTTTTCTGCTGTGGACTAGGCTTGTTTGATTTCTCAGAATTTCCCAAGCATCTTAGGTTGTTTTCCCCATTAAGAAATCCTTCCCACATTCTCTCTTTGTAAAAATCAGCTCTTTTAAAGTCTAGGACAGGGCTTTTCAATCTTTTCACCCATTGTACCACTTTTAGGATATGGCAATATCCGAGTACCACTAGTCGCCTAGCAAGGTGTCAAAAATTTGATGACCCCTCCCAAAAAAAGGAAAAAAGTGATAAAGTACAGGTAGTCCTCGACTTACAACAGTTCGCTTAATGACTGTTTGAAGTTACAATGGAATTGAAAAAAGTGCCCCCCAAGCCAGAGCCAAGCAAGACACCTGCCTGCTTGCCTGGCCGCGCTCTTCCTCCTGTTCGAGGTTTTCATTGTTGTGAGCATTTTTGTTGGGGATTGGCAGCAAAGGTGAGGTGGGAAGTGTTTGGTTTTTATTCCACCCATCTGCTGGGTGGTTGCAGCAGGTTTTGGTCACTTCACATGACCCTGGGACACTGTGACCATCATAAATATGAATCAGTTGCCAAGCATCTGAATGGAAAACACAAGACCCTGGAGATGTTGCAACATTCCAGCTGATCGGCGGTTCTTCTGGGCTCAGCAGAAGTGCCAGGATCAGCTGGAGCCTGGCGCTGATCCTGGTGCTTCCACTGAGCCCTGACAACCCCGAAGAAGCGCCAATCAGCTGGAAAGCGGCACTGATCTTCGTGCTTCTGCTAAGCCCTGCAGCTCCAGCCATCTCTCACTCAGGCAGCCACCAGTTCAGCTTATTCCCCTTCCCCGCTACCACTTTTCTAGGATGGTTGCGTACCACCTGCCAGGTGCCAATGTACCACAGGTGGTACCCGTACCACTGGTTAAAAAGCCCTGGTAGGACACCGGTTTGATTATGATTTTTTGCTTGAGTATGTATTATGCTGAATTCCAATATGGCATGATCACTCTCGCCCAAAGTTCCAGCAACTTCAACCACCTCTATCACTTCTTCTTTGTTAATGTTCTAGAACTTTCTTTTCATTTCTCTTTCTTCTTCTCAAAAAATTCTTAAAAGCTTTAACAAGCCTTGTAAATCCAAGATAAGAAAATTATACAGGCCAATCTTTTGGTTTTTTAATTTGTATATCCCTTTTAATTATTAAGACATCAGCCAGTTTCTCTTGCATGTCTAGTGTAACATCTTTTCCATGTCATTCTTATAGATTGTCATTTTCAAATCTCCTTTCAGATCAATCTCAGTCTTACCAGGTAAAACTTATTTCTGTTCCATAAAATCTTTTAAACAGTTTATCTATGGAGGAAGATACTCTTAAAATTAACTTCTGAGTACATTGTTCAAAAATAACCTTCAGTATGTTCAATGTTAAAATATTTTGCTTCATTTTGTATTTGTGAGTTGAATTTAAATATTCTTTAATTGTCCCTTCCTTGTCACTTCTCTGAAATGTAAAGCCTTCAAAGTCCCATCGTATCATTTTTTAAGAATTCAAAACAAAAGCATTTTCCTATGGGAAGAACTTTTATAATTAATTCCAAAATCTTATTTCTGATCCATCTGGCTCTTTAATCCATTTATAATTTTTTAAAATCTAAATTCTAATCACTATTTGCTCTTTATTCCAAAATAACATTTTTAAAGTTCTTAAACATGTTTAAAACTTATTTCACTAAGAACTGAAGGAAACTCACCCAGTGTTGCAAAATATGTTGATCTGAAGGTTACTAATAGCCGAGAACAATTAAGCAATTTCCAAAAGAAAAGGAAACATGTGATCCCAGTGTCCTCAAAGGTGCTGACTATGGTTTAAGCAAGATGGTTATTTCTTCTTCTCCCAGAGAAATAAACTACTGGAGACTATTATCTTGTGATCTCCTTACAAAGACTATCTGGAGCATTCATAGGCAATCCCAAGTCCTCTTGTCCAGAGAGGAATTACCAAAGAGCCTACCTGCCGACTGTTCATTCCACCACAGTCATAAGTCTTCAATCTGCCATTTCTTCTCCAGAAGTCCAGGCCAATATTATCTTGTGTGAGCTGTTCAGCTTCAAAAAAATCAGCTCTCTTCCTTAGAGCTCCTTGTCATTTGGAGCATCTCCCTAGAAAGAAATAATCCTGGCAGAAGCTGCAATTCTTTGGATATGCTTTCTACCCTGTCCTCTAGACATTTGTTGTCTTTGAAGACTCATATGGTTCCCAGACTGGATTTTTGAGCTTGATCTTCCCTTTAATGAATGTAAAGTTCTACAGTTCTGTTTTGTTTGCCACTATAAAGAAACTCTGCAGTAGTATTTAATAGATAAATGTTCTGTGTTCTACTTAGTGATGGAATTGATGCCTGGCAGAAAGGGATTCGCTATGCAGAAGGCCAGAACCTGGCCAGATATCTTATGGAAGGCCCTGCAAACCATATCACACCAACCAAATTTGCTACCATCATTGAGGACAAATTAAAAAGCTTCGGTAGCAACGTGACTATTCATAAAAGGTAAGTTCAGTTTAAGAGGTCTTTGGTTGGTAAGCATATTTTTAAGAATGATTAAATAGAGCTGGGCCTTAGTAAGTTATTCATATGACCCTTGCTAGCTTAGCATTTGAGACACCAGTATCTTGTATGGACTTAACATTATCTCTATGCATCAAATAGCTTACACCAGTGTTTCTTCTCCTTGGCAACTTTAAGAAATGTGGACTTAAACTCCCAGAATTCTCCAGCCAGCATTGGCTTTAAGAAGCCCACGCTTCTTAAAATTACTAAGGTTGAGAAATATTGGCTTATGCATCTGAACCTATTAACCTATGCAACCTAACCTAAACCTTACCCCATTGTTAATATAGACCTCCTATAGAAATTCCCCATAGTTTCCATTTTGTCAAAATCATATCTCCCTTACATCTTTTAATTGCTGTAGAATAATTAGTCTTTTTACTTTGCTGCCTCTGATGGAGAAACCAAACTCCTGAATTTCTATCCCATTTCCCTTGTCAAGCTTAGGTTTACTTTGTCTGTTCAAGCAGGACACTGGATAGCTTACTTGTCAGTCTCTCAGCATTTACTTCCCATTTTCAAACCATAGCAAATAAAAGGTTTGTTTTATATTGGTGTTCACTTTATGACTGACACAAAAAAGGTTGTAAAATTAGGTCAGTCATGTCAGTGATCTGCTTTACAACTATCACAACATACATAATTTGCAAGTTCTTTTACAGTCAAAAGTTGTATTAATATTGAAATGGCTGAAGTTCTTCCACATAGCCCTTGCTTATTTTCACTTTGTAGTGCATCCTGGCAAAATAGATGTACTGAGATTGTAGATGTTATTGCTGGGACTAGAAGGAGCCCTTCAGGTAATAGACAGTTGTGCACTTAATTTTTGTGCACATGCTTGTGTGTGTAGTATCTGTGTTGCAAGGTTTCTTCCCCTCTCAAAATATTGCTTTTTATTGATTTTACAATCCAAGGGATGCAAACCAAAAGAGGCATTTCTATTCAAAAAAGTCAAAAGGAACAAATATCATGCAAATAAGCATGAGCTATAAAAGCAAAGTATTGAAATTGCTGGCAATTAAATGTTTAATAGCCATAGCAGTTGCAACCTATTTATTTGTTTGTTTGTTACCTATCTCACCAATTTAGCACTCTGATTCTCTGAGCATGCATGATTATGAATTAAGAGAAGCATTAGGAATTTAGTTGTACAGAAGAAGTATTACAAGAGAATGGAGGAAACTAGCAAGATATTTCCTTTGCAGACTGCAGAGGAGTGTTTCCACAGAATAGTTGTAAAGGGGAAACTTGGTTAATATAAATCTTTTTCTTTTTATTTATTTGCTTTTTTATTATCTTAGAATTTGAGAAAAAAGTTATTTTTCTGCTGACATTCGGGAATACAATGTGTGTCCTCTTTCAGTAACTGGGAAAGAAATAATGGAAATTGTTCCCTGTCGTTATAGAGATAAATCTTGGATACAGGAGCGAGAAATGGGGTCATTTTGGAGTGTGGCAAAAGGCTCAGATGAACCCCCAGTCTTTTTGGAAGTCCACTACCAAGGCAGCAACAACCCCAAAGAAGCTCCATTGGTATTTGTTGGAAAGGGGATAACTTTTGATAGGTGAGCATCTTAGGAGCATTTTTGGAGCAGAATTTTTCCCCTGTTCCCAGAATATGTGCTTTGAAAGTGCAAATGAATGCAATGCAAACTCCATTGAAAGGGATTTTAGAAAGATGGTTTTAGCTCATTCATCTTCCCAAGGTTATGTGATCTCTAGGGGAAAAGCTTTCCAGGTTCTGGTCTCATATCTTAAAAGGAGGGAGTTGTGGAGCTTCACATAGGGATCATGGAGGAACCATTTAGGGGCCCTGGAATAATTGGGAAGTTTTTCCTTCCACCAGTATATAAAGATACAAATAAATAAATCTAAATGAAGAATCCATTGCAGAAATTACTCTCAAAAAATTCTATTAAAGAACATCTCTGCAATGGATCCATTTGTTAGATTTATTCTACTTACTGAATTTATACCCTGTTTTTCTCCACTGGGAAGCATACAAAGGGGCTAAGGAAATTCTGAAAAATAAAACAATGCAGATTAAAATTAAGAATAAGTACTATAATCCAATAAGAAAACTACAATGAGATAGAGCTATATTTTTTGAATACTGAGGCTGCCTAAGGGTGAGTTTCTCATGGCCTGGGAGCAGGATAGGAGAAAATTCCTGAAGTTATGCTGGAAAAATGGGCTTCTGACAATGGATTCATCTTCAGAAAGTGTGTGCATAGTGAGACTGGACAAAGGGAACTTTACAGGCACCTATTAGGTAATCATGGTGCTAAAGTATTTTTTTTTTACCATCAGATGGATTTTGATTGTCCTCTTACCTACAATCTCAGCCTGTGGATTTCATTTAATTCTTCTCCAGTATTATTCCAGAAGATCTAAAATGAATATTTCTCTGTGTTGTAGAACTTCTCTTTCACATTTATAATAGTGCCATATTTTCCATGCTTTTTCATTTATTAAAACAAAAAAAAATGTTGCTTGGCATCACAGCAAAGTTTACTCTTGGTAGTGTTAAGTTTTTTGGGATGGGGTAGGCAAAGAGACCAATCTTTGTGGCATCTCTTGTATTTTTTCCCAGCGGTGGCATTTCGATCAAGCCTTCAGCCAATATGGATGCCATGAGAGCAGATATGGGAGGAGCAGCCACCATTTTTTCTGCCATTGTCACAGCTGCAGAATTGAAGTTACCCATTAATCTAATTGGTAAGTAGATTGTAGAAGAATAAATTTACAAAAGTTATTTGAATTGGAAAGAGACGTCAACAGACCTTGGGGTCAGCCCATCTTGATTGTCCAAGGTCTGTGGCAGAACAATTATCCCATAATTTGCTTCCTGGGTTGAAAATAGAAGCTGCTGAATCTAACAACTCAAGCAAACTGAAATTGAAGGCTGGATTGACTTGTCCCTCTGACTTCTTCTCCAAAACAAAATCTGGTGATGTTGAGTGGTGAGATTCCATCATCAAGAGTCTTCCAGTTCAGAGATTCCAGTAATGTTCCAGTTTTGGGGTTTGCCACTTTGTAAGGATTCCTGATTGCTCTCCCTATTCTCTTCTCACATGGTGTTTTAGATGAGAAGATATCCTTTACACTCATCCAGCAACCATTCAAACTTGTGATGGAACTGAACAAGTGATACTTCTGGTCCTGCAATGTTTCCATGATTGCGATTGGGACACCTGGCTTGTAATTATGATATTGCAATATCCTGCAGCCACCATTTGTGATCTTCTTTGCTGGCTTCCTATAAGCAAAGCCAATGGGGATGCAAGCAGGTAGTCGTAAATGGTGGTCATATGATGTCCTCACTTTGTGACCTATGGCAATTCACTTAATGATGGCAACAGGGACTGCCTTTGTTAAGCGGTACCATCATATGACTTATGACTTCATTGTTTAGCAATGGAAATTCCAGTCTAACTTGGAGTCTTTAATTGAAGATTACCAGTATTTTATTTCATTTTCAATTTTTTTTTATTTTAGAAGAATATAAAAAATAAAGAGTAGCAGAATGAACAATAATTACATAATTAAAACTAAACAAATCCAACAACCACTGTAAAACTCTAACAGAATTTAACAAATTTCATAGTAAAGGGGTTAAAGTTAACAGTATTGTACTAAAATGTAATACTTGTTGTGAGTGCATGCCAGCCACTGGACCCGGCAGCTGAATCCGGGGAATCAGGAGGAGGGGCCTGGAGAGCCATCAGAGTCGGAGGAAGGCTCTGATGAGCTCCAGGACTTACAATCTGATGAAAAGCCTGTCCCCTCCAATCATGCTCAGGCTGAGACTCAGCTGTGCGGGGAAGCTGAGTCAGACTCTGAGGATTCACAGCTGGAAGACATTATAGAACTCACAAATGCAGACTGGCAACAAGAGCAGAACAGAGGGAGGCAATGGGGCCACTCCAGGGGAGGAGGAGAAGACATTGAGAAGCCACGCCTTGGGGCTGCATAATAAAAAGGGAAGGTGTGGGCGGTGCTGGTTGCTGAAGGCAACCGTTTGCAAAGGAATCAAGTTTCATGGAATCCTGTTTTGTTTGCCTTGCTTGTGAACAATTCTGTTTGAATCATGTTCTGTTTGCCTTGGACAATTCTCTGTTTGCATCGCGTTTTGTTTGCCTTTGTTTTTGGGACATTTTGCAGGTCTGTACCTAATTAATAAAAGGGGTTTGTTTCTCCTGCATTTCCAGCCTACTTGTTATAAGAGGGGTTTGTCCTTGTGAATGAACAAGGACTCACATAGGCTAGGACAGAACAATACTAATGTATATGGTTAACTTAGTCTCTGGTTTACAAAAAATACCTTATAGTACTTTTTAGTATAGTATTCGTATATAATTAAATACAAAAATAAAATGAAATTACCTAATGATATCACAGTATTATTGCAAAGTATCATAAAATGTATGCTAAAGAAGAATATAACTGCTTCATTTGTTGATTTATTGAAAACATTGCCTTTTGCAGAACAGAAAAATTACACATTTCCAAAATCAAAATATCTAGAATAATAGGGTTTTGCCATATAATTCAGCATCACATTAATATCTTTAATGTTTATGTACATTAAAATACTATTCTAGAAGTCTTATTAGACATTCACAAGACCATTTCATTTGGATCAGTGGGCCTTCACACTTTTTACAACCTCCGGCCCAATTTTTACCTTGTTTAATTCCTCTAGGAAAAATAAATTGGGTGAGGGAGTACCCTTTTCAGAGGTGGTATTCAAATATGTGAACAACCAGTTCTCTGTGTGGATGCTGCTTCCAGAAGTCCATTCTGAGCCTGGGCAATAAAAAATTAGCTACCGGTTCTGCTGAAGTGGTGCGAACTGGCTGAATCCCATCCCTGACCCTTTTCCTTCAAAATATTGACAAACATCAAACAGGAAACAATGGAGAGAAATGTTCAAGATTATCTATTTTGCAAGGACTAAACCCTCTCAACTGGCATTTGTACAAATTTGCTTATTGAAAGGTAAGCAAAGGAATTGGGTCTTGGCATCAGGTAAGTAGATACCAGTGAAACAATACTACTGCTGAGGAATTTTTAATTCAAGTTTTAAAAGCAGCATGGTTTAAAGGTGGGGTTCCCAACCAGGGGTGCAAGATGATATTCCAGGGGGTGCGGAAACTTGGGTATTCAAAATTATAGTGTATATGTATAATTCGTTGCCATTATTTCAAACTTTTGTAAGGGGTGCGAGAATATATCAGAAGCGTTCTAGGGGTGCAGGGTATAGAAAAGGTTGGGAACCACTGGTTTAAAGAATACCGAATAATGTTACAGTATGCATAAATTCAGTTGGCATTCTTTATATCTAAGGTCTGGCCCCCCTTTGTGAAAACTTGCCCAGTGGGAAGGCAAATAAACCCGGAGATGTTGTGACAGCCATGAATGGAAAAACAATTCAGGTATGTTTTAAGATGCTTATTTAGCACAGGTTTTAATAGGATAATAGGACCTTGGGTTGCACCTGAGGTTTCATCTAATAACATCATTTCTAGTTGAACAAATAGAACTTTAAATCAACAGTTGATTGCAAGAGCCCCATGAAAAGGCCTAGAGGCCAAGCTTGCTAACATTTCTAACCTTCGTTGGAGGACATCAGATTTGAGTGAATGGTAGCAACCTCATATTTAATAGAACAACAACATCTGTTCCCTATTGTTGCCCAGTGCTGCTTGGGGAATTCTGGGAATTGATATCCACATATCTTAAAGCTGCCAAGGTTGAGAAAGATTGGGATATAGATAGACTATTGGTATTAACCATTAGTCTTTCAGGATTGCAATACCAGAAGTCCCCAACTTTTTGGGCACCAGGGACCGGTTCCGTGGAGGGAGGTTTTTCCACAGAATGGAGAGAGTGTGGTTTTGTGTGCTGGCTGCATCCCGCAGATGGGGCTTTGCTTGTTTGTGCGGACCAGTTGCTGGCATGCCACAGCCCGGTACTGGTCCACGGACCAGGGGTTGGGGACCTCTGGCAATACCATTGAAATAATAAAAGAATTGCAGCCTTTCATATTTGCCAGTGTGAATAGGAGATTCCTCTCTACAAAATATGGACCTGGAGGTAGCTGCTAGAGAGAGGAAATGGTGGAAAGGCACCTCCAAGGGTTCTTAGTAGCAAATAAAACTGTTTTTCCAAATATTATACTCTTTTGAGCTTTTTGGCTCTATTGTATCCATTATTTGATAGTAGTAATTTTATTTATTTCAGGTTTAGAGTTATAATGCATTAAATTTTACAATTTTAAAATGTATTATTAATTGCCCCCAAAATTAGCTATTGATGATATAGGCAAGCTTGTTAGCCAATGCTGTAATTATAAACAGAATGTGATTTTCTCTTGCTGATTTTCATAAAAGATTGACAATACAGATGCAGAGGGAAGATTGGTGTTGGCTGATGCTCTTCACTATGCACACAGTTTTAATCCAAGGGCAATTTTAGACACTGCAACATTAACAGGTAGCCCTTTTTTATTTGTTTCAAGCTTCTGTACTCCATATTCCCAGAATATTAGGAATACTATGAAAAGCCTCTTCCTATGCAGAATATTTTAGTAATGTAATGTCTTTGTGAGTTTCAGCAGACTGCAGACCCTCCAAATTGCATAGAGAAGATTTGCATTGTCTTAAAGCTAATGTTTTTTTTCTTTTTTACTACTTAGAGCAGAGTTCCCCAACCTTTCGGGGTTGGCAGCCCGGAGCAGGGGGAGGGGGGAAAGAAGGGATTTGGGGGGGGAGCGAATGTGTGTGCGTGCATGAACACTCATTGTCCATGCGAGTAAGGCCATAAGAGCTCGTGCACGTGAAGCTGCAAATGCCTGCGACACTTGCGCAAGTGGGGCCGCAAAAGCCCGCAACACTCAGTGACACTCACACGAGTGGGGTTGTGCATGTGCACATACACATGCACCTACCAGCCACTCACACGGCCCAGTTACCAATAGCCCACGGCCCGGTAGTGGGCCGTAGCCCAGAGGTTGGAGACCCCTGACTTAGAGGGTTCCCCCCAACCCAGGGAAGAGTAGGCTGCATATTCAAATGCAAAAATATAAACTTTGCTGTTTAAAATAATCTTGCCTATAGCACTATTCTGACTACTGGGAGAGGATTATTTTGAATGATACATCTTTTTATCAAGGTTGTGCACTTAAGCAGCTTCCTGTGAGCAATTAAAATAATTAAAAGCAAAGGAAAGAAAACCGGGATGTCAATATTGCAGATAATAAAAAGGTTGAAACATCAAAAGTAAATGGAAAACCATCTGAATAAAATTATCTTTGCTTGGCAATAGACACTAAAAAAGAGTTGGATGGATCAAACAAATTTTTCATAAGACACGTCCAACAATAGGGTGGAGTTGCAAAACAATATCTCCTGTGCACCTGATAGTAATGCTGGTGTGCAGGAATATGGTCCAGTTTCCTAGGACATAGAACAATGTTTTTGAATTTTTAAAAATTTCTATGCTATAACCTTGCAAATGAAAGGAAAAAAAAGATATTTTTAGAAGTGTGAATATAAATTGCTAGCTGATGAGCAGTTACTGTAATGCTAGTCAACATGGAAAAATGGCTGGATAACCTGCATTTTATAATACTTTATAGGTGCCATGGATGTAGCATTAGGATCAGCAGCTACTGGGGTTTTTACAAATTCACAGCAGCTGTGGCATCACCTATATGAGGTAAGTGATGCTACTAACAATTGATTTCAAGATAGGTTTTGATTTAGAGAGTTTTAAAGAAAAGATTCAACCCTTTTTATTGAGAACCTAAGTTGTGACTATTGACTACAAAAGCTAAACACAAAACATTAGCTTTGGAGTTGATAAAACTTTTGTGAACTAGTGATAATTTCCTCACCTTGGGACTTGTCTATACTGATACCTAAAGTAAGCCACCTGGAGACAAACAAACAACACAGCAATGCAACTGAATATATTTGATCCTGTCTCTAATACTTCTCAGACAAAAAACAGAAGAGAACCAAGTTTGGATTTATTAATATTAGTTAACTGAAAAATGGAAAACAGTATTTTTGATGCCCCTAATTATTTCAACAATTTGTGTTATGAATTTCTAAACTACTATCAGACTGATCTTGCCAATGCAGCACGTGTGTAGCCAAGATACATATTTCCATAGGTGGCAGATAAAATAGGCAATGACATCCTTTAGCCCAGTGAGTGTTTCAGGGTCATGCCCTCTGATCAGGCATGGATGTCAGACATAATCTGAAAGCAGGCATAAGAAGTGGCTTAGTTTGCAGTGAGAACAAATGATTTAGGTGGATAAAGCAAAGATTAAAAAAATGTCAAGATAATGTTTCAAGGAGAAGAAATGAGCATTAGAAGGGTAAATGTGGTCCAGTTTAAGCAGCTATAAAATGATGCACAATATCCTCAACTTCATATATAAATTTAATAAATAACTTCACAGATACACTGGCAGGCCTGAGCTTGTAGGGATCTTGATGCATGGATAGTTTGGTAATAACATTGCTTGAATTTGGGATTGCTATGAAAAAGGCAGGTTGGTTGTGAAAATCATTAGGAAGAAAATGAAAATGCCAGTCCCACACAGCTATGCCAATTCCTGAGATCATTTCTGTTTTCAGCCTGCAAGGATTCTCTTGGTGCCTCCTGTCCATGGCAGGAAGTTTATTTTTCTGAGGCAGTATAAAAAAGAAAAGGATTTTGGTAGAAGAGTGAAGCTTAGAATCTGCTTCAGTTTAAATCTAATTATTGGGCTCAACCATTGTAAGCAAACTAAATACTATAAAGAACTGTGTGGAAATTTGATATCTGAATAGCTTTTCTCTACACTTGACAGGCTAGCATTCTGACAGGGGATCGAGTTTGGAGAATGCCTCTCTTTGAACATTACACAAAGCAAATGACAGACTGTCACCTAGCAGATATCAATAACATTGGAAAATACAGGTAACATAGCTAAGTTAAAATGCAATACTGCTGCTATCTATTATGCTCACGTTACTTTTTCCAGCGCCTACAGAGAACTTGGACAAATAGGAGTTAAAGGAGAAGCTGCCTAAACATATTTCAGATCTTGTTTATTTGGGCAAGGATCCAATAGAGCAACAATCTATAGCCATGTTCATGTGGGTATGGCTTGGCAGAGGAAGCATAACTGGACCTTTCACTTGCTGAGATCAACAGACACTCTCTTTTGCTCAGAGAGAAAATTATTTACTAATTTGCTTCAGCTTTTTGTTGTGATGCAGAAATGGATTGTTGTTTTTCTGAATCCAACTAATGGAGAATTTTGAAGAACAAAATTATAAAGACATGGTGGTGCAACTATGCCACTCCCTCTGTAATTGTTATTTTTTAAGTAAATGTGACTTCACATGAGCCCAGGAAAAGGTGCCACAGACAACTAGACAGTGCTTATACCAGATTAAACACTGCATATTTCTGTTGGTTTTTATTTGTATCTTTCAAGTTGAAATCATGGCTTAGATTCTGATTTCTGGTTATGTGAATCAAGGTTTGGGGTAGTATTTTCTTATGTTTTCCATGGTGATAGGCAGTTTTAGATAGCTTTTATTCCTCTGTAAATTATTAAGAACAATGCAAATAATCTTGCACATGGATAGGACTTCTTATAAGGAATTACTTAAATTGGTAGGGAATGATTGGCAATTAAAACCGTTGGTTGAGTTAAAGCAAGAAAATATTGTACAATCTTGGTTTCAGTATAATCAATTGTTGGCTAGGTGGAAGTTAGATCAAAAGGTTGGTATTACTTCAATGGATGAGAATTTGGTAAAACAGATTAAAGATCAAAACTGTGCACATATAAAGAGAATTTATAATGCTTTAATAGAATTGGATTCGGAAATAGATTTAGTTAAAGATTGTATGGTAAAATGGGCCCAAAATATTCAGGAACTGATTCCATTGGATATATGGGAGGTAATTTGGGTTAGAAATGTAAAGTTTACCCAGGCCCAAAATTTAAGAGAAAATTTTTATAAAATGTTTTATAGATGGCATCTGGATCCTAAAAAGTTGTCTTGTATGTATCCTAATTTACAGCCTAAATGTTGGAGATGTGGTGGTTTGGATGCTACTTATTTTCATATCTGGTGGACTTGCAGAAATATAAAAGCTTTCTGGATTAAGATTTGGTAGAACATTCAAAAGATTTTTTAGGAGAAAGATAAAGTTTACTCCACAATTATTTTTATTGGGTGTAATTGTAGATTGTGATATTAAAGAAATTAATTTGATGTTGAATTTGATAACAGCTGCAAGGTTATTGGTAGGGCAATATTGGAAGGATTGTTTGCCTACTATAGAAGAATGGACGCTTAAAGTGTCAAATTTAGCAGAAATGGCTAAGATTTCTGCTTATTTGAAGGATCATTCACAAGAAAGATACATTTCGGTTTGGAGAAGATGGATAGATTATATTCAGAATAAATATGGGACTAAAAAGTTCCATTTACTTTATGAGTAAATTTTAGAGTATTATTATTATTAATAGTTTATTGTAGTGGAATTTTTATTAGTTTTATTATTATTTTTAGTATTAGTATTGTTTAACAATTTGGATATTGTATTGTTCAAGAATTAGGATATTAACTTGTTTATATTATTATGTTTATTTTTAATTTGTTTATTTTTATGTTAAAGGGGAGTTAAAGCGCATTATGGACTTGGTTATTTATATAGTTGGTTAATGTTAGTTAGATTATGCTTATTATATTTGTTACCCTTTTCTCCCATCAGGTCTGGCGGCGCATGCACAGCTGCTGCATTCCTGAAAGAATTTGTGACTGCTCCTCACTGGGCTCATTTAGATATTGCTGGTGTAATGGAAAATAAAGATGAGGTTCCATATCTGCGAAAAGGCATGGCGGGAAGGCCAACACGTACCCTGGTTGAGTTTATTACTCGATTGGCCCAAGACAAGCAAAGTTTTTAGAAAGCAGGTTTGCAAGGATCACCTCTGGCTTTAAAAACAGTTAATTTGAACCTGGAATCAGCCAGTGTACTGATAAAATTCTAAAGGGTCATTCATCTTCGACTTTAATTTTGGGGAGCTACTTTGAAAAGATCCACAGCAATGGACTATAAATTCATTCCATAGAGTTCTACTAAATCAGTTGCTTTTTATACTCTTCAGTCCAGAATCTTTTCCTGTATTTGGTATCCAAAGAGCAATCAGTCTAAACCAACAGGCTTTATAATATGGATTGAATAATAGATACATAGCTATCACATACAATAAATATATCTTCCAACACTTCCAGTTGTTGAGGTTTTTGTCTTTTGCAGAATATGCCTTCCAAAAGGATTTGTTTCATAGATGGTTGGGCAGAATATTAAGAAAGGAGTGAGGCCTTATGCCAGCATAAATAAGGCCCTCATTTCTGCATGCCAACAGATGAAATTTGAATTTAATAGAGGACGCCTCTAAGGTGTTAGAAGTAAGTCTTCATCCTGGTTCATCCAAGCCGGGAATAAATAAGCAAACATGGCGACTGCTTTGGGAAGAAGGTTACAGTTTATTGCAGAAAGATGGTTCTTCAGGAAAGTGCAGAGGAGAGAAGGGCTGAGCACATGGTGTAGTAGGTTTTTATACCCCCTCTAGCCTTTTGTTTGGAATAGTTTCCTGTTCCTGTGGCATGAACCTTGAGGCTGTTTCTGAGTGTTTGTCTAGGCCTTCATATCTGTGGTTTAATTCTATTATCATATCCTGCTTCCCAGGTGATTGGGCTAATGACTCCTAGAGTTTGGGTGGGGTATGCAGATTTTCTCTTTGTCTTCTTGATTGCTCTGGCTTCAATTCTCTGATGGTTTTACATCTGCATTTGTATGGGGCTAAAGTCTTGCTTGGGGCAGAGAGATAGATTTGGGGCCAGGTTTGGTTTTAAAAAGTCCTTTTGAGGAAAAATATATTTTTCTGCCCTTTTTAATATTTCTTTCTCTGGGCTAACTTCCCTCAAAGGATATGTCTTGTCTTTGGTGGAAAACATGCTTTGTGTGCAGAACAGTCCTGTGCTTCTGATGCAGGGGTTCTCAACCTTGGCAACTTTAGGACTTATGGACTTCAACTCCCAGAATTCCTCAGTCAGCAAAGCTGGCTGAGGAATTCTGGGAGTTGAAGTCCACAAGTCTTAAAGTTGCTAAGGTTGAGAACCCCTGTTCTAATGGGTGCTGGAAGGACTTGGCAGCCCATCATCCTAGTAGGAGAGTGTATGCAGTGGGGGAAGGATCGAAGGAGCTTGTGGCATTATCCTTCCTACAGGGCTGGCTGAGCAGTTCCAGGTGAAAGACTGTCCTTGAAGCAGCATCTGCTGGTGCTTTTAGGACAGAGCTTAGCAGTAAAGGTTATTTTCTTAGCAAATAACAACTTAGCAAAAGTTTTAACCACTTTCCCATCTCTTAACTGGCTAAATGAACCAGGATGCCTTTAGGGAGAGATTGTTTTCCTCCCTTTTTGGTAGTTTCGGAGTCCAGTGGTTTATTATACAGTCCTGTGGGAGGACAACACCCCCCCTCCCCCAGAGAAATAAATATTTTTGGGAATATGATAAGGACAGAATATTATATTTCCACAAAGGATCTTAAAGGTAAGAAAGCAGGCCCAGTTTTTCTTAACAACCCCAGGCAGAGGCCAGGTCTGTGGAAATGCAGATTTGATAATCCCATTTAGAAAGTCTGAGACTCAATTCATGAACAAATACTACAAGCCCATTCAAGACAGGATTTTTTTGAAATCCCTTGCAACAAAACATAGCTAACAATAGCAGAGTGATATAATTAGAACCAGCAACCTCATCCAAAAAAATCCAACACAGGAAGTCACAGCCACAGAGAAGCAGGATATTCTTGTGGAAAACGAAAGAGACTTTTACGAATTCCAGAGGGTTTAGTAGAGAGATTTATTGCGCAGGTTCAGAAGCAATGAAGACCAGCAATTCTGAACCCCAAGGGCGGGCTTAGGCTTCAATTTTATACTTTCCTTTTCTCGGGAACAGAGGAACACACATAGAAATCTACACTGTAATACATTAGATTCATTTCTCACGGGCATACAATGGAGAGTTTTGCTACAAACATTGTTTCCAAGTGCAATGCGCATTTGGTTAGTCACATATTGCTAATACAGCATTACTCCAGTAATTATGCAGACACATCATTATTTTAGTGCTTTTTCATCATCATTATTATTATTCTACATTATTCTACCTTAATATGACCTTTGGGACATAATAGGATTAACCCACCACCATCAGAATACAAAAGGGCACATTCAGATTCAACTCAAAGTACATGACATGGGAAATACAAAGCCTCAAACAGGAACAACTCCAAACACAAAAGCACAAGAAGGTATTAAAAACCCACCACTCCCAACAACAGGTGGTCAGCTCTCTCAGAGGCACATTGCTGCCTAGCTCTGCTCTCCAATAAACTACAACTTTCTTTCTAAAGCAGCCTCCATTTTGTTTATTCCAGGCTTGGACTGGACCCTGATGATTTTTCTTTCCACAGTCCTTTATTTTAGAAAACTCATTTTCACTCACTTTTGTCCTTTTATTTTGATCATTTAACTTTTATCATACAAATAGTACCAATCTGTTGAATTCAGTTGAAATAAATGGAAATTGAATGATCTTTTAAAAATAATTTTACAAATACTGCTTGATTTTAGATATTTTTATAAATATTTATATATTTACAAAATATTTTTGTAAAGTTTTTTTTGGTTTTGCTCTTGAATTTTCTATTAAACAAAGTTATAATTTCCTTTATCCTTATGAATTTCTTGCAGATTTGCCAATTTTTCATATTTGTCTTTTATTTTTTCCAATAAAATATGGTCATCGCACTCGTTAGCCTTGTACAAAGGCAAAAAGGAGACCCAGATCATAAATTTTATTTTGCTAAGATAATAAACAACCATTCGCTCCTTAAAAAAAAAAACCAGAAAGAAATCAAGCTCCTGGCAGAAATGTGTATATAAGTGGGAAGGCGGGGGGGAGGGATTCGCATGAAAATCATGGTAGTCCCTGGGCTAGGAAGGAAACTTCTCCGACGTGTATAGACCGTCCACACGTAGCGACCAAATGCTTGAAGGAAGAGGCTATTCGTAAGGTGACCAACCGTCCTCCTTTTGGGAGGACAGTCCTCCTTTTTTGAGTTCTGTCCTCCCTTGAAAAGTGTCCTCCTAAATGTCCTCCTTTTCCATATACCGTCTTCCTTTTGGGAGGACAATCCTCCTTTTGTGAGTTCTGTCCTCTCTCGAAAATGTCCTCCTAAATATCCTCTTTTTCTATATTTGAAGACTAATCTGCAGGGCTTTTGTTTCCTCATAGAACGCTCAGAAGGCGTTCCAGGACCTTTTTTTGATTTTTTTCAACTTTTGCATCTACTCCCCCTATTGGCTTTCGAAAGCCAATAGGAATTGCTGCTGAGCGTGCCAAAACACCCGGGCGGCAAACTTTGCACGTGCAAGTTGCAGGAACTTTGCACCCCCCACTGCTACCCAACTACACGATCTCCTACTTAGTTCCAAAGATAGCTGGAGGAGACTGGAGCAGTAAGTTTCTCTTGATCTTCCCTGTTCAGTTCTACACGGGGATGCACAGAGTAGGTGGTGGTGCTGGGGGGTGGCTGCAGGACCGGAGCCGGCACGGCTGGTGCTTTGCAAGCTGCAGGGCCAGATCTACAGGGATGCACGGGGGGGGGCAGTGGTGCTGGGGGCAGCTGCAGGGCCGGAGCCGGCACGGCTGGTGCTTTGCAAGCCGCGGGGCCAGCTCTATGGGGATGCGCGGAGAGGGCGGTGGTGCTGAGGGGAGGATGGGAGGGGGCGGCTGCAGGGCCGGAGCCGGCATGGCTGATGCTTTGCGAGCCACGGGGTCGGCTTTACGGGGATGCGCAGGGTGGGCTGTGGTGTTGGGGGGCGGCTGCAGGGCTGGAGCTGGCATGGCTGGTGCTTTGCCTTTGCAAGCCACAGGGCCAGCTCTATGGGGATGCACTGGGTGGGCAGTGATGCTGGGGAGTGGCTGGGGGGGGCAGCTGCAGGGCCGGAGCCGGCGCAGGGCCGGCTCTCCACAGCAGGGCGGTTGTGGGCAGGTGGCGTGACTGTGGGCAGGTGGCGCAGCGGGCAGTTGACCTTCCATGGGCCGCGCCAGGTGGCAGTCTACGCAGTGCTGACCTGCGCTACCACCACCTCGCCCTGCACACCTACGTGGCCGTCCTAGAGCGCCTGGCTCACAACACCTGCCTCCACTGCCCACCCCCACACAGTCCAGTCCATTTTTGGACAAGTGAGAAATCGAGATTGAATGTTGATACTCTAGCTGCAGCACTTGCTGTAAAATTCAATATGAAGAATATTTCTTGTTCAGATATTTCCAATATATTGTTAGAAGATGATACATTGACAAAAAATATTCATTCAATGGAAAAGTACTCATTTAAATAATTAATAGGCATGTAAGCATAATTACAATATAAAATGTTATTGTTACAAATGTTTTTAATTATGCATTTATCATATTATACTGTATTCTATATTATTGTTGCAATAAATACAATGTTTCTTTTATTTACGATATCTTTTTCTTCAATTTATTCGTATCCTCCTTTTCGTTGTAAAAAAGTTGGTCACCTTACTATTCGCCGCCGCTGAAGGGCGCGGGGCAACATCTCAAAAACTTGCTCATGCTCATTACTTATAATTTTTGCACCTTTTTCATTCATTCCTCCATTTTCACTGAGACTCGAAAAAAAGGCCTCTTCCACCCTCGAGGCCCCACCCCTGGGTCCTCATATCGCGATGTTGTGATGTACCAGCGCGGTTTCGTTTCCTCTTGCGCGTGCGCAATCGCTCCAACTTCCCCTCAGTTACTATGTCCGCTGGACTAAGTGGGATGTTTGGGAATCAGGGCCCGGTGCCTCCCCCGCCACCTCCTCCGGTGGCTCTCGGCGGTCCGGTACCCGCGGGACTCCTTCCGACGAACCCCACGGGTCCGCGAAACTCCATCGGTACCCTTGTGGATGATTTGGAGGCTTCTTTTGAGGTAGGCTGTGCAAGCGAGCGGCCTCCCCCTACCATGGAGATGAGGGAAAGACCGACGCTGGAAGTAGGGAAACGCAGGACTATTGCCGTCCTTTTTTGGACGAGGGGGCTACTATAGAGATGAAGTAGCTAGCTAGAGAGTACCTTGTAGACTTCCGTTTCTGTGTTTAAATGGCTGTGAGCTTGAATAGAGGCGCCCTTTAATCCTATATTAACAAAATATTTTTTCTGATCAGAATAAGGAAACATTTCATTCTAATACAAGCCAGTGTGGGGTGATAATGGCTGTGATCTCCCTTGGCTCGTGGAATTTTATGGGTTACCTTGGGCCCGATCATCACTTTCAGTCGACTGTACCTCGCAGGGCGTTGTTATGCGGATAAAAAGATCTTCCTGAACTCATCATCGCAAGAAAGGGAGAAAATTATTTATCTGCTAAAATGAATCATACTCCTTTTTCAGAAGCATTTATTTGCAGCGTAGAATAATCATGTTTTTACGGTTTTAAGAGGCATTCCTTTCTTTTTGTAGAGTAAAAAATAATGCTTTATGGTATGTGAAATTTCCATATTTTGTAAGAATTTGAATTCAGCTTCATCTGAAAATGGAGCCTATTTATTCCATCCAAACAAACACGTTTTTTGTATTTGTTTGAAACCTACTAAATTTGTATGCCATTTTTAATAGAGCAAAGAATAGGAAATAAATATCTCTGAAGTATATTTTTAAAGAAAGTAAATATATATATTTTAGTATAGCTTTATTTGTGCCAAAAAAAAAAAACATCTACCTTCATAAAGCTCTTAACATCTGCTTTTGTAATAAATGGTTTTTGTAATTATCTAGGCTTGCTTTGCATCCCTTGTAAGTCAAGATTATGTAAATGGTACAGATCAAGAAGAAATTAGAACTGGTAAGTTGGGTGTCCATCTTCAATTTAACTTAGAATATTTATATGCAGAATACTTATCTCTTTTTCTCTGTTTTGATCAGGCTGGAGTTGAACCCAACTTTATAAAATTGTGCTGAAAAATATTAGTGAATGCATAACAGCCAATTGTGGCCAATTGAGTCAGCATTGTGCAGTAAAGCCAAAAAAAAGCTAATACTGTCCTTGGTTGTATACACAGAGGCATAGAATCAAAATCACATGAAGTATTAGTACCACTTTATAAGGCCACACCTGGAATACTGCATCCAGTTTTTGTCCCCACATTACAAACAAATGTTGAGACTTTGGAAAAAGTGCAAAGAACAACTAAGATGATTAAGGGCCTAGAGACAAAACATGTGAAGAGCAGTTACAGGAATTGGGTATGGCCAATCTAGAGGAAAGAAGGACTAGGAGTGACATGATAGCAGTATTCCAGTATTTGAGGGGCTGCTACAAAGAAGAGGGATCAGTTTATTTTCCAAAGTACCAGAAGGCACAACAAGAAACAATGAATGGAAACTAATCAAGAAGAGAAGCAATCTGGAATTAAGGAGAAGCTTCCTAACAGTGAGGAAAATTAATCAGTGAAACACCTTGCCTTCAGAAGTTGTAGGAACTTCTTCACTGGAGATTTTAAAGAAAAGACTGGACAACCACCTATTTGAAATGGTACTTGGGCTCCTGCTTAAGCAGAGGGTTGGATTAGAAGACCTCCAAGGTCCCTTCCAGCTCTATTCTGATTAGTTATATGATTGGGATGTTTTTCATTTGTTATCTTATTGACCCTTAGGAGATGGGTAAAATTAGATAGGAATTTCTTCTAAAAATATCTGTTGTTGGAGTCATGGGTAGTAAAATTAGTATCACTGGAGTGGGTTGAACTGAAATTTTGTGACCCATTTTATGAAATGTTCCAGTGTCACAAACATAGAACATAGGATCACAGGGCTTCTAGTCCAACCTCTTGCTGAAGGCAAGAGACCTTATATCATCCTGGCCAAACATAAAGCTCAGGACCACATAGCATTCCCCCCACCCCAATTTAAAACCTGAAACTATAACTTGCTTAATGATTCTAATTAGGACTAGAATTTTTGTCACCAGGTAATGTGGCCATGCGGTTATTACATGAAACAATACATGAGCACACATAGCAACTGCTGTTCCACAACTCCTGATTGCAGTCTTTAAGCGAGAACTTCAGGCTTCTGCCCTGCCACTCTCACCTCTGTTTCAGCTCCCCCTGCCTATTTCTTCCCCCCTAATCTTGCTCCCCTGCCCTCTGCCACCCCTGCTGACCTTTGCCATCTTCTGTTGCTAATGAGGCAGCAGGTGGCATTTTGTTTTACACCATTTTACACATGTAGACCCAAGTATTTTACACTTCTTCTCTTAACTAAGTTTGTTAAAGTTACATAGTATTTGTCCTGACTTTTATTCTTTAATAGCTTTAAACTCTTGTTTCTCATGTCCTAGGTGTTGATCAATGTATCCAGAAATTTTTAGAAGTTGCACGACAAACAGAATGCTTTTTTCTACAGAAAAGACTACAATTATCTGTCCAAAAACCAGACCAAGTAATTAAGGAGGTAAAGATATGGATTTCTTTAGGCTTAAGCATGATATCTGATTCTATGCTAATTATACACAGTATAATTATAATACAGTTAAGTGGAACATTGCTATGAGGCACAAGTGGGATTAAAAACATGAGCTACAACTCATTTATTACATAAATTAGGACTGAATCTACTCTGATCAGAATATTTTAAGGTGTTTGGTGTAGAACTGATTGATCACTGTAGTAGGATGATGATTTGCTCTCTCTAATCTATAATTTATTTTATTTGTTAAATTTATTTGCTGCTTACCTCGCCATGGGGCTACTCTAGGTGGTTTACAATAATAAAAAGGAAGAAAATGAAAGGAGTGTAAATAGAAGTATAATAATAGAACAATAAAATAAACAATGAAAACGGAACACAGTGAGAATAGTACATCAATATTATAACTAGAAAGATGGATGGGTGGAGAACAGAGCAAAGGGGGGGGGGGGCAGAAATGTGTAGTTGGCCATCAATCCAGCACCCACCCAGAGTGGAACTCCCTCACTTGGTCCCCAGGCCAACCAGCAGAGTTCTTGTGGAAGGATAGGAGGTATTTTTATTTTATCTGTCAGCCATTGGTATTCTAAGTAGTATTGTTTGTATCATGACTGAGGCGCCTAATTGATTTGACTGTGGACGGGCTCAGATCCAGACCAGGGCCTGCGGATAGCAGTAGACCGGGTGCTGCAGATGGCAGTAGATCAGGGCCTGCAAACAGCAGCAGACCACTAGATCGGGGACTGCGAACGGCAACAGACCAGTAGGCCGGGGTCTGTGAACAGCAACCGCACAGCAGACTCTTGGAAAAAGAAACTGATGCTATTTTGATTTGCAAAATATAGGATAGAAAAAAAATAGGCATAATTACCTAGAACAGAGAAGATAGAAACATGGCTAACAGCAAAGCACATCCACCAACCACAAAAGAGGGATTTTCAAACAACAAATTCATGGAACAGGCGATGAATACTATTGTGGTATGCAATACATATTCCATGTATGTGCTTATGCCCAAAGAACACCCAAATTATACATGCATTAAATGTAAACTATGTGAACTACTAGAGGAAAAAGTAAGGGATCTAGAGGCAACTCTAGCCAAATTCCAACCTGCGCAAGAAAGCTATATCCAAACTGAACCAAACAATGGACAAATAACTCCCAGAGGATTTGACTCTACCGATAAACCCTTGGAGGAAGACAAAAGGAGGTATGTCACACATAGAAGGAAACACAACAATCAAAGGCAGAAGCAGGATACATCTAACAAACCCCTACTGCCCAATCTTACCCAACCAGAAGCAGCCCCATTAAAACTGAGCAATCGATTTCTCCCTCTAGATGGAAATACACAGACCCACAACTTCCCCCTCAAATAAAACATGCAGACCCCTAGCAAAGAAACAATTTCAACTATCCCCAAAAAAGTCACATCAACAAACACACCTGAGATAAGCAGAAAAGCACCCCAGACTGCAGCCCCCCAAAAGGAAGGCAAGTGTTGGTAATAGGAGATTCTATCCTCAAAGGAACAGAATCATCTGCAGACCGGACATAAAATCCAGAGAGGTACATTGTCTCCCTGGAGCAAAACTCAAAGACATGGCTAAGAATCTAACCAAAATAATTAGGCCCATAGATTACTATCCTCTCCTACTCCTTAACATTGGGATGAATAATGCAACAAAGAACCTGAGCACAATACTGAGAGACTATAACCAACTAGGCAATAAAGTTGAGCTAGGAGCACATGTAGTGTTCGCATCAGTACTCCCAACAAACGGCCAACACCCATTAAAGGAAAAAAAATTCTAGAAATAAACCACTGGCTAAAGAATTGGTGTTACCAAGAAAACTTTGGTTATTAGACCATGGACTGCATTTCCTATGCGACAGACTCTTTGCAAGGGATGGGCTGCACCTCACGAAAATAGGGGAAACTGTACTGGGAAAAAGACTGGCCCAACTCATCAGAATGGCTTTAAACTAAAATTGAGGGGGAAGGGTGACCAATCATTAGAATCTCTAGAACACAAAACCAATCATAAATCCCAAGAAAACAAAGCGGTAGGGAGTGATGAGAAAAAAAGAAAAAAAATGAACAATAATCAGGAGATCCAGGAAACATACCCACAGACAGACATAAAAGTCTTAAATGCTTATATATTGATTCTCAAAGCTTGGGGAACAAACGGTGTGAACTAAAAGCAATAGTACACCAGGGTAGATATGACATAGTTACCATTACAGAAACCTGGTGGGATGAAACTCATGACTGGAATGGATTGATAGATGGATACAAATTGTTCAAAAGAAACAACTACAAAAAGAGGAGGGAGAGTTGCACTATATATAAGAGAATAGTACATATCTACAGAAATGCACATGATCAAAGATAAAAGCCTTCCAGAATTTATATGAGTCAATATAAAAGGGAAAAAAAGTGACATTGCCATGGGATATACTACAGGCCACCCAACCAAGCAGAAGAAATAGATGGACTCTTTGCCAACCAGTTAACAAATGTATGAGGAAGCATACCACAGTAGTAGCGGGAGACTTCAACTATCCAGATATCAAATGGAAAACAAACTGCTGTGAGTGGGAGATCAAACAGATTCCTAACCAACCTAGCCGACAACTTTGTCATCCAAAAGGTAGAGGAGGGAACTAGAAGTAAAGCTATACTGGACCTAATATTCTTACTAAATTCTTACTAAAATCATAGGTATAAATACAGATTAGGTGAGACCTGTCTCAAAAACAGCAACTGTGAGAGGGACCTTGGAGTCCTAATAGACGATCATTTGCCCATGAGCCAGCAATGTGCAGCAGTGGCCAAAAAAGCTAATATAATCCTGGGTTGCATAAACAGGCATAGAATCAATATCACGTGAAGTATTAATACCGCTTTATAAAACCCTAGTGAGACCACACCTGGAATACTGCAACCAATTTTGGTCACCACACTACAAAAAAGATGTTGAGACCTTGGAAAAAGTTCAGAAAAGAGCAACTAAGATGATCAAAGGCCTGGAAACTAAAACATATAAAGAATAGCTGCAGGACTTGGGTTTAGTTAGTCTAAAGAAAAGAAGAAATAGGGGTGATATGATAGTAGTATTCCAGTATTTGAGAGGCTGCCACAAAGAGGGGTCAAATTATTCTCCAAAGCACCAGAGGGCAGGACAAGAAACAATGGTTGGAAACTGATCAAAGAGAAAAGAAACCTGGAAACTTCCTAACAGTGAGGACAGTTAACCAGTGGAACCTTGCCTTCAGAAATTGTGGTCGTTCCATCACTGGAGGTTTTTAAGAAGAGACTAGACAGTCACTTCTTTGAGATGGTATAGGATCTGCTTAAGCGAGGGGCTGGACTAGAAGACCTCCAAGGTCCCTTCCAGATTCTATTCTATTCTATTGTCATCTACACAGCAGCGGAATTATTTTACTGTACAATAATATAAATTTTAATTTGGGTAAATGTCCACTGAATTCATGATGATCTAGGTAAAATCGTAAAAGTTCATAGGCACATCCATAAACTTGAAGCTTAAACTTTATTATGCCCAAAAATTAGCACGGTATGCCCATAAACATAATTTATTATAGTTCTTGAAGAAAAATAAAAAAATATTATTTTGTGCAACACATGAGAACTAGTGTGAGATAATTGTAATTGAAAATGAGGTAGAATGTCTCTTAACAAAATTCATCGTGAGTTAATTAAGGAAAGGAAGCAGCTGTTAGTATAATTCAGATAATTTATTGAAATACATCAGGATACTTGTTTTTCTAAGACTTTGTCATTGTTTTTGTTCAAAGCAAATGTTTTTCCAAGGAGATATTCTTAGTTTCTTTCCTATATTGTTCTATTTCATGCAGGACGTTTCAGAATTGAGAAATGAATTACAGCGGAAAGAAACACTAATTCAGAAACACTTGGGAAAACTTCGCCATTGGCAACAGGTTTTAGATGATATTAATATCCAGCAGAAAAAACCTACTGAGATGCCTCAGGGACCTCTAGCCTATCTAGAGCAAGCTTCAGCCAATATTCCTGCACCCCTCAAACAAACATGAAAAGAAGCATCATTGAAATGCCAGAATAAAGTTTGCTAGACCTTCATAACATTGTACATTTTATATTGAAAAATATGTTGTTTTTGGAAAAAATGGACAGCAAGGAGCCTAACCTAAACGAGGCTATAGCTGTCATTGCATGGATTAGAAAGTATGATTTCTTTTATTCTATCACCTGCAAACTGAACATTGTCTCTCCCTGACTTTGGAGATTTTCTAAGGAGCAAGAACCACCTCTATCCTATGAGCTTCTGTAAATCAAGTGATGCCATTAACATTATCATTTGGAATCATGGTGCTTTTAATATCCCTGACACAGTTGTAGCTTCTGGTTTCATGTAAAAAAAAAAAGCCTATGAGAAATATGTCACAATCTGAATTGCTTTAATGCAAAACAAAAATTATGTTCTGAACCCAGTTTTTGAGTTGAGCAGCTGTATGCTTTAAATAAATTTAAAATGCACATGGACAAATTAATGTTTATCTAACTTTATTTTAATGATGTTACAAATGAACATCTGGTGAAACTTTTTGTTTTTATGTGATAAATTAACTCTATCCTATTGCATATTGCATAGCAATAATAAGAGTTGGCATTTTAAAAATTGTTCTTAGTTTTCTTCCTCTTAAAATTACTTTAATACTCTAATAGTTGACACTTAATTGTGTTTAAGTGTCACAATTCAACATAGAAATTGTCTAAATCTGAGCTTAATTGTGGTCATGATGACAAGACTATTGCAGGAGCAGACAGTGCAAATATACTATTACTTTGTTTAAACAGATATTATAAGAACATTTCAAATAATGTAGATATGTACTGAGATTTTTCCCTGAAATCTCTAAAAAGTAAACCTGAATTCAAATAGATTTGGAATGGAGTGTTCCAGCCATTTTGGTACCAGCATGCTATTATTGTGAGATTTTGTAGATATATATAATATAGATTTGATGCATGGATCCCAATTGGTATATTCTTTCACTGAAATTTTTCCACTAGTAATCCTGGGAGAACGTGTTCCCTACTTTGCAGCTTCTCACACATTCTGAAAATTTGTTTTGGCAGTTGGGGCAAGCAAGGAGAATGTCCAATGGGTAAAATTGCAAAATATATGATTTTGCCTAGGAAGAATTTAAGGCTCAGTGCTAATTTAAATATATTATGTTCAAATATATTAAACAGAGCACTTCAAGCCCTTATTTATTTTTAGAAATAAAAAAATATCGGCGCATCACAGATGCATACAGATTCATCCTTGACTAGAACCATTCTCTACTGCACTATGTGCCTGTGTTTTAGACCAAAGTTAAGAGCTCAGCTGTGACTGAGATAAAAACATTTCACTTCTAGATACAATATGTATTTTCTAAAGTTTATATTATAGCAAACTACAAAGCAAATTAACTGTTTTTGACTTCTCAAAGTTTTATTTACTAATAACTGGGAAATGTAGCCAGTTAACTTTCAATACAGTATAAATGTTGCTATTAGTATTTCAACTTGCCAAATAGTGTAAGACTGGGAAACATTTAAGCACAACCTCTTCACGTAATCTGTCGGGCTTTATTTTTCTATTTTGTTGTTTTTTTATAAGGTAAATTGCCCAGAATCAGCATTTCTTACATCTATGTAAATAAATAAAATGTTTACGTGTATTATGGGGAAATCTTCCTTGCAAATTTTACTTGTATCAGATTTCATGTTAATGGGGCCTTTGATTCCTAGCTCTGAAATATTCTTCTAAGGTACTAGTTTAAGGTTGATGTCTTTTTAATAGTTAGGTTTCCTAGACCACTGAACTAGCCAGTTTTGTTCTGCATAAGTATCTTTGTAAGTTGAATGGCTTAAATATGCTAGTCTTGATGTTATTGCTGATATAGTATTAAAATTATTGAGTACAGTAAGATACTTGTACTAAGAATCCATTTTACCTAGAATTTGCTGAATACCAGATTAATTATAAATTAATATTTTAAAATATGTTTTATTTATGGCAATAGTTACTTACTATTGAATTTCTTATGTTTAGCTACTTGTGACCTGTGATTCTTTCCTTGTTATTCTGTAGGATATCATATAAAATATATTGTATAAATGTTTAATAACAGCAATGGCAATATTGATTATTGTAGAAAGTTTTCATCAGAAAGAAAAATATTTTGTAAACCATTTCTGATGCCCTGAGTCTGGTTTCTGAGTGTCTTGATGTTTCATTATTTTGCAGACTGAAAAAAGTTGAGAAAAAATATTCAGTGTAGTGATACTTGTCTGACTCACTTGTTTTGGAGAGAATGAGATTAGTCTTGAAACACGTTTGCTGCAAACACCTCATTAGCTGAATCAATTGAGAAACTGGAAATCTAAGTGAAAACCTAACAAATACTGGAAGAAGCATAAACAATAATATTTACTGTCTCTTAAAATGCATCACATTTTGAAGAAATTACAGGCTATCAGACTGACATCACAATTAAAAGCTATTCATTCATTTTTCCCTCCACCCAGCAATTAATACCTGTTGATTCCATGTTTCAAGAGTTAAGAACTTCAGGGTCAAAGGCAACTTGGAATTTTAGGAAGAAAACCCAATCATCATCTATCAAAGTTACAGCAAATCCACCACAAGTTTAGCATAGCATATGAATATATATTCTGCCTTTGTAAACTGGTGTTTCCTTCATGTTGTTTTTTAAATTACTGTAATCAGTTACAAGCTGCTTGGATGGATAAGAGGGTGCAAAACTTTCAAATAAAATAAATAATTACAACTGTGGTTTCTCATGGCAATAACCTACCCCATTCAATCTTTAGGTGAATTTTTAACAAGTTAGAGCATAGACAAACTGCAAAACAAACCACTGCAAACAAGTAATAGCTATTGGGCTGCCTTTTAACAATGATAGAAAATTTAAAGCAAACGTTTTAATTCTTGCTATGTCTGATTTCTGCAAACCTTTCCTTTTTTTAATTTAAAATGCCTGTGCAGTATTTGTGGGAAGTAGAGTCTGGAAACACCAGTATTCTCAAGCTGCATTACATAGCAGATACAAACTATATTCAAGAAATAGGATATTAATCATACCTAAGCATTGTTGCCTTAGGTAAATCTTATTGTTTGGATTTTCTTACTATATGGTGCTTAAATTTTTTACAACCAACATGATATTAGGGGACCCTTTTAGGGGAGATTTCCTGATAAAGATTGAAGTGCTAGCTGATGCACCCATATAGATCTTTAAATGCTGCTTATAGATATACAGCATTCTTTCTCTTTTTGCACTTTTGCCCTTTCTACTCTTTTCTTTTAGTTTTTATTAGTTTTATTTTTTGCAGATATCTTTAATAACTAATTTTTTAAAAAATTCCAGGGCTTAAAATATTGAATCTGTTGTTTCTTATCTATGTTTTACTTTTCATCCTGAGTCAAGATAAGGATGTTATCTTATAAAACAATAATGAAAAGTTGTGATGGCATTACCACCAAAAAAAAAAAAAGTTCTAGAGGTTATACCAGAGAAATTATAAAATTAACTAAGGCAATAGTCCGGATGTCTATGGATGTGTGAGAATACAGATACACAGGATACCTCAATAGCAATGGATAATTAATATAGAGTATGCCCTCTCTAGCAAATACAAATCAGTGACTTATCTTGAAAGTGATTTATTCTCCAGAACAGACAGACAGCAGACTTGAATACAGCCTAGATTATGATCCAAAACTAGATTTTACATTCTGAGGTTGTGTTCTTTTAGGCCTCAACTCGCCACTCAGAAAGCTTTTTGCGTAAGTTGCTAAATTGGAACTGTGACAATGCAGCTGGCAGCAGCTTCATCCATTTTCTTCTGCTTTAGAATAATAAAATGACACATCATAGCTTAAAACAAGCTATGCACAAAATTTAATTTCAGTGCTCAGCGTGTAGGAATAGTTGAGTAACCTCATATATTTATGATCAATAATATTTAATCCAGGAAAGGATGTCAGTTTTAATTATTTCCTGTTAAAGTGATATTGGAAAAACAATTGTGTGGCAGAACTATTTCAAACCAAGATAAATGCAATTTAGTGACTTCCCCTATCAGTGTTATATATTTTAAACAATCAAAATATTTGAAACTTGTAGCAGTCCAATTCTTTTTGCAGAGTTTATGCTTGCAATTACTTCTACTGTATCTTCTGGAACCAAGAAGCACAAAATTCCCAGGCTTCATAAAATTGTATGATTCATCCAAATAACCCAATTGCTTCTTCATAAAATCACGCAATCATCCAAATAACCCAATTGCTTCTATTGGCTAATTATGGATGAGATTGGCAGGAGAAAGCCAAACCATGCTGGCATAAATAAATTAATGTTGGCAGTCCAGGAAGAAACTGTCCAGGATCAGGAAGTCGAATGGTTTTATTGGCTGCCCATGATTGCAAAAATGAAATGTTGGACTCCTGGCAAAATGGCATTCTTAGTTTGATGAAGATTCATAATAAAAATATTACAGTAAAAGATACACTCAAATGCTTCTAATAGCAAATCATGAGCATCTCTGAGCTTATAATACCAACTGTTTTAAATAAATGGAAGCCACTGAACAAAAAAGCCAGCTTTGATACTGTTTCTTCTGTAATAACTGTTATTCAAACTAGAAAGCCTTGGTTACAATCACTCTTGGTAAATAATACACCAATTATTGGGATACACAGAAAGTATTCTTACCAGTTTTGGAAAATAGAATACTTCTCCAGCATGATTGGATGGAGAATCCACTAGTGGGTTGTCTTAATCTTCCTGCTCCAATAAGACTAAGTCTAGAAAGTTGCCACGCCTCTGCTGTGCAAGAGCACCCCAGTTTACGACTTAGTCTCTTGCTCAGCAGATGCCTAAATTGTGCTCCTTTCCAGGATTAGCAGCAGGTTGTATAATTCCTAGTGGATTTTCCTTCCTTTAGACCTACATCACAATATTTAAGATTGAATCTGGACATTTCATTTTAAAATTGGATACCTTGAATTTAGCCAATTACAGGAGGTCGCATAGATTGGGGCTGAGGGTAGTTCCCTCCCGGCCTTCAGGGATCCCTGCAGGCTCAGCCTGTCAATGATCAGGGACGGCTGGCTTTCAGTGTGAGTCCTTCCGACAGCTCAAATTACACCAGCTGATTGGCGCGGAGCTGGAAATAGCATAAACAGCCGCAGACCTTTTCCCTCATTCCAACGGAGTTAGCTGCAGCCAGAGGCCAAATTCCCTCAGCAGACTGCTTACCCGATTCTCCAGAACAGCTCCTAGCTCCGTTGTTCGCCTCTGCCGATCGCCGCCATAACGCAGCGCCAGAAAACACTGTTTTATCCTTGTGTTTGACAGGCTCTCTCTCCCTCCCTCTCTCAGCCCCTCAGCTGTTCGGCGCAGCACCAGAGACCATCATTCTGGCCGGGGCTTGCTCAGTTTATTGGAGCCATCCATTTGAGCATGAAATGCACAGCCGCCATTTTGGCGAGGCACAATGGCTTAATTACATACTTGACAAACACCTGCGATATATAGGCCTAGCGGCAGTTAAATTGGGTGCGAATTCAGTGTGGCCGCCATTTTGTCTGCACACACAATTGCAGCTTGTCGGATTGATAGCTCCCTTTGTATCGGTTCTGGGGAGGGCAATCCAGCCCGATAGGGCCACATTGCCTGAGAATTTGTCCCCCACCTCTCCAATAGCTGGATTCCATGACAGGATCCTATCGCCTGGAGGGAGGGGACTGGTCAGTGGTCTCTTATAGCATTGGCGGCTCTGAGTCACCACAGGTGGCCTTGTGTGATGACCTAGGGCCCTGAATGGAGGCAAAGCAATTAGCTGGTCAGAATAATTATCTTTGTAAGCACTGCCAACATTCACCCAACAGCCCCCACATATGCTGGCACAAGTTCAATAAAACAGTCACCTGAGTTAAACAGTTCTTTAAATAATCAGATAACAAAGTATGATCTTTTCAACGCCCAGCTTGCCTGTAACCTGCAAACTGCAAAACTGAAGACAGCAAGGAAAACTCAGCAGGAAACAAACTTGATCCAAAATACGGAGTCCAGGTACATGAACTCACATTACAAGAGTTCACATTTGTTCCCAGGAAATGCCCCACCCCACAGCATCTCCTTAAATACCTACTCCCCAGATGTGCCTTGTGAAGTGGGGTGTGATGCTCTCCTCCAGAGCAAGTGAGCCTGCCTCCATTGTTCCCTCTTCCTCGTTGCTCTCCTTGCTCTGGGATCAGGTGGGGAGGGGCCTTGCTCCTCACCTGAGCTCTGCCTTCCCTGTTCCAAACTTGAAGGGCCCTGGCCTGCTTCAGCCTGTTCCTCCCCACAGTCCTCCGAAGCCACAGACACCGCCTCCTGGGCCTCAACAGGGAACTCCATGTCGTCCTCAGAGTCAGGCTCGGAGGGAGGCATGACACCTTGCTATAACGCCTAACGCTATCAGCCACTGGTGTTTAGAGGGACATTAATTGGAGCCGTTCTCTGTCCATTTGGCGCAGTGGTAGTAATTTTAATTCCACTGTTGGCAGGTGTATGTCCAACATTTCTGTTCCTCTAATAGGATGTCAGATAATTCTGCCCCTCAACAGGCCCAGGGCATTCCTGACTCCCCCGCTGGAAAGAAACAGAAATCCTCCACAATGGAGGCGGAGGGGAGGCTGAAAGCAAAGGCCAAGGCTCAGTCCAATAGAAAGTCCTCCAAAACAGCAGAAAAGGAGGCCAGCAGGCGCCAGGCCCTAGAAAAGGAATGTTCTATCCCAGCCTATTGTCGTCCTTGTTAACTTCACAAGGACAAAACCCCTGCTATTACAATAGGCTGGAGACTTGCAAACAAAAACAAAAACCTCTTTTAATTTTGTTCACAAACCTGTCAAATACAGCAAACTCAAGTCCAAAAGAACACGATGAAAAGCAGACGCGAAGTCACAAGAGAAGTCACAGACCAGGATTCCAAGACACAGTTTTCAAACGGTTGCCTTCAGCAACCAGCACCACCCACACCTCCTCCCTTTATTTAGCAGTCTTAAGGCGGTGCCTCTCCTTGCCATTTCTTCTTACTTTGGAGGTGCCTCATTGACCTCTATTGATTTACTCTTGCTAATTGACGCCCTCTGCGTGCATCAATTAGCAAGTCCATCTGTTGTGATTCTTCCAAGTCTGACTCATGCTCCTCACACAGCTGCGCTTCATCAGAAACATGACTGGAGGGCCCAGGCTCTGCATCCAACTGTGAGTCCTGTACTTCAGAGCCTCCCTCTGGCTCTGATGGCCCTTCAAACGCCTCTTCCACCTCCTCCTCAGATTTCTCCAACTCAGCTGTTGGGAGCACAGGCTGGCACAGAATCACAACACTATCCTATCCCTTCCTCCAGGTCTGCCAATACGGATGCGGTCGAGATGGGAATTGTTCATGAAAGGCAGTCACCAAGGCAGGAGCATGAACGGTAGACACATCCTCCCAGGTGAACTCCTCCGGTCCGTAGCCTTTCCATTCAATCAAGTACTTTCACCCAACGGGAGTCCCGAATGCTGGCAACCTCATACTCAGGGGCACTGTCTCTGTCACGTTGTTCCGGTGGGGGCGGTTCGGCTCGGTGGAGTGGACACGCCGGTTGCTCAGCGACCAACAGAGAACGGTGAAAGACCGGATGTACCCGCATGGAACATGGCAGAGTTAAGCAATAGGCAACCGGATTGATGACAGCCTCGATTGGGAACGGTCCGACATATCGGTGGTCTAATTTCTTGGTTGGCTGGGTTGATGGTAGATTCCTGGTGGACAGCCATATCTGATCTCCCACCGATAGTGGAGGCGTATCCCGCCTTGACCGATCAGCAAACCATTTGTAGTCAGCCTTGGCCTTCTCCAACTGTCGCTGCACCAATCGATGGATCGCCTGTAACTCTGCCAGGTAGTCGTTCGCTGGTGGTTCCAGTGCATCTAGTGGGGAAAGAGGAAAAAAACGAGGGTGATAGCCCACATTGGCTAAGAATTCTCAGCACACTTCCACATCTGCGTGGAAGTGTGCTGAGAGTTATTGAACGCAAACTCAGCCACCGCCAGATAGTCTACCCAATTATTCTGCTGCTGATTGACATAGTAGCGCAGATATTGCTCCAGGATTCCAATGACCTTCTCGGTCCCTCCGTCGGTTTGAGGATGATGCGTGGATGAGAGGCAGATCTTGACATCCAACGCCTGCATTAACTCCTGCCAGAAATGGGCTGTGAACTGGGCCCCTCTATCAGACACGATCTTATCAGGAAGACCATGCAGACGGAACACTTGCTCGATGAACATGAGAGCGGTGGCGCGGGCAAATGGTAAGCCACGGCGTGGAATGAAATGCGCCCTCTTGGTCAACATGTCAACCACCACGAATACCGTTGTGAATCCAGAAGACAGGAGTAAATCCATCAAAAAATCCATGGACACCACCCCCCAGGGTCTTTTGGGTGTCGGCAAGGGCTGCAGTAGTCCAGGTGGGGCCCTTGTCACTGACTTGGCTTGCCTACAGAAAATACACGATGAGACGTAGGTCTGAACGTCATGTCAGATTCGGGGCCACCAGAAGGTACGGGATACCAAATTCAGGGTCTTGAACAGATCAAAGTGCCCCGCTGCTGGATTATCGTGACACTGGCTGAGGATGAGTCCTCTGAGCGGGCCTCCAGGCACATAGAGCCGATCACGATAGTAGAGGAGTCCATCCACGACTGTCCATGGTGAATTGGGCCCCACTTCCTCCTTTCACTGAGCCACCCACCCATCCTGCTGCTGGGTCTCCCGAATCTGAGCCCGTACATCTATTGGCTCCCTCACCGCAGCAAAAGACTCAATAGGGAGCACTGTCCTGGGCAGAAGCTTGTCTTCTGCTCGGGAATTTTCGGGCTTCCTGGACAGAGCATCCGCTCTTTGATTGTGACTGCTCGGTATGTACGTCACCTGGAAATTGAACCTTGCAAAGAAGAGAGACCATCAGATCTGGCGTTGGTTCAGTTTCCGAGTGGTCTTCAGGCTTTCTAAATTCTTATGGTCCATCCGGACCTTGATTTGATGCCACGCCCCTTCCAGATGATGTCTCCAGGTCTCGAACGCCACTTTAATGGCCAATAGCTCCTTCTCCTAGATGGTATAATTGCGCTCCGCCGGATTCAATTTCCGTGAATAGTACGCACAAGGGAAGAGGGCACCGCCAGGCGTCATCGCCTGAAGTAACACTGCCCCAATGGCAATGTTGGAGGCATCCATCTCCATGACAAATGGCCGTTGCGGGTCAGGATGCTTCAGGATGGGCTCCTTCATGAAGGCTTCCTTCAAAGCCTGGAAAGCCCGTTGTTCTGGAGCGTTCCACTGAAACCGAGTCTTTTTCTGCAGGAGCCGAGTAAGGGGAGCTGTCATGGTAGCAAATCCGGGGATGAAAGTCCGATAATAGTTGGCGAACCCAAGAAATCACTGGACATCCTTCACACGACGTGGGGGTTGCCAACTCTGCAAAGACTCCACCTTACTCGGGTCCATAGCGATGCCCTCAGGAGAAATGTGATGATCCAGGAACTTGATAGTCGTCTGATAGAACTGGCATTTCTCTAATTTAGCATAGAGCTGATGTTCTCGAAGCCGCTGCAAGACCTGACAGAGATGCCGATGGTGCTCCTCTCGTGATGGGGAATAGATCAGGATGTCGTCCAGGTAAATCGCCACAAACTGATCTAACAAGTCCCAGAAAATGTCATTCATAAAGTGTTGGAAAACAGCAGGGGCATTGGTCAGGCCAAAGGGCATCACCGTGTACTCGAAGTGCCCATACTGAGTACTAAATGCCGTCTTCCACTCATCACCCGACCGAACTCTGACAAGGTTTCGAGCTCCACGCAAGTCCAGTTTTGTGAAGATTTTGGCCTCACGGAGCCGATCCAAGAGTTCAGGAATGAGGGGAAGCAGATATCGGTTGTGCTCTGTGATGGCGTTTAATTTCCGATAATCGCAGCAAAGCTGCAATTCACCGGACTTCTTCTTGACAAAGAGTATGGGTGCAGATACTGGTGAGGATGAGGGCCGAATAAACACCCGAGCCAAATTCTTGTCCAAAAAATCCCTCAACGCAGCCAACTCGGGGTCCAACATGGAATACAAACACCCCACTGGGAGAGGCGCATTAGGGACTAAGTCAATGGGGCAGTCATAAGGCCTGTGCGGGGGTAATCGATCCGCCTCAGTCTCGCTGAACACATCAGCATACTCTGCCAATTCAGAGGGTAAGGAGATCCCCGTGGGCCCCTCTACCTGACTGGCACAGATGTGGTGGGTGTGGTCCACACACTGCAGGCTTGGAAAGGTGACCAAGTTCTGAGACCAATAGATCTGGGGGTCATGCACCCGGAGCCACGACATTCCCAAGACCACGGGAAAATGCAGGTCTGAGGTGATATAAAACTGAATGGCCTCCTCATGATTACTGATGGCCATACATAGCGGTTGCATGGCGGCCTTAATTGGCCCAGACAGAAGCACTCGACCATCAATAGTCTCCACTAACATCGGCAGATCCACCGGGCATTGGGGAATTGCCCATTTAGCCACAAATGCTGCGTCCATAAAGTTTGTAGTGGCCCCAGAGTCAATCAATGCATGGACAGGAATCCCCTTGGGCAACGTAGGAAGAAGCAGGCACACATCCAAAATCAAATGTTTTGGGGGTCCGTGGGCAGTATCAGAAGGACATGATTCAGAGTTGTGGGACGCCCAACCCAAAAGGCCTTTTAGGGAAGCCGAGGGCAGTCTCGGGACCGGCTCCATCACAGATGCCCCTCGTCGCTTCTTGAGGCAGAAAGCAGCCAAATGTCCAGGGTCCCCACAATAAAAACACAACCCCCCCTGAACATCGTCTGTTCATCTCTGCCACCGATAGACGAGGTCTAGCAGCACCTAACTCCATTGGCTCCTCCCTCTGGGCCGGGGTCGCACTCACAATGGGGGGCTTACGGATCTCTGGGGTAGCACGGCGACTCCTTCGCTGCTGCAGCCAGGCATCAATCCGCAGGCAGAGATGAATGAGCCCATTAAGGTCCGGGGGGAGCTCAACACGGGCCAACTCATCCAACATCTCCTCCGACAAGCCATCCTAGAAAGCGTCCATGAGTGCAGCCTCATTCCAGGCTGAATCCTGGCTAAGCAGCCGAAATTCACTGATATAGCCCTGCAGGGGGGCATCAGCCTTGCCTCAGGGCTTTCAAATGCTGGGTAGTTGTCTGAGTCTTGATGGGGTCCTCATACATCAACCGCATGTGCTCACAAAACTCCACAAAGTTGTCCAGCAATGGGCTACATTGGGCTAACAAGGGTGTGCCCCAACGAGCTGCAGAACCAGAAAGCAGGCTTATCATAAACCCCACTTTATCCCGGTCAGTGGGGAAATCCTCTGCTTTGACACTAATGTACAAGTGGCATTGACCCATGAAAACAGGACACATGTCTGGGTTGCCATCAAATTTGTCCGGCCTCGCTACTTGGCATTTTCTCCTGGGTGGTGGTGGAGCAAAGTGGATCTCATGTCAGAGGCCATTTCCCATTTATCACAGATAAGGGCCATAGAACCAGTGCCGGAGGATCAGAAGGGGTGGGGGGTTTACTCCAATCTTTTTGTCGTTCCAAAAACTTTGGTGGGCTGGAGGGCAATTTTGGATCTAAAGAGTCTAAATTACTATCTAACTTACAGGAAGTTCAAGATGCAGTCACTTCAATCGATCCTAGCCAGCATCAGAAAAGGGGACTTCCTGACATCAATAGACTCAACAGAGGCATACTTACACATTCCTATCCTCCCTGGACATCACAGGTTCCTCAGATTTTGCTATGTCCACCAGCATTACCAATACAGAGCCCTTCCATTCGGTCTCTCCTTGGCCCTCCGAGTGTTCACAAAGATATTAGCAGTGCTGGCTGCCCACCTGAGACAAATTCCAATCTGTGTCCAGTGCTATCTGGACGATATTCTAATACAGTCTCCATCCTTCCAGCAGGCTCAATCGGACCTATCCCGAACCATCACGGCCCTTCAGACTCACGGGTTTTCTGTCAATTTTCAGAAAAGCCAGATGGTTCCATCCACCTGTCTCCTCCATTTGGGTGCGGTCATCAACACAAACACTTGTACAGTCTATCTGTCACAGGAACAACAGGACAGCATACGGCCCCTAGTTCATTGGGTTTGGAGGGAGCGGGTGGTCACCCTAGCATTGTTGTCACAACTCCTGGGGAAGATGGTGTCCTGTATAGCAATTGTACCATGGGCACGTCTTCATGCCAGGGAACTACAGTGGGTTTTGCTCCCATTCCAGAGGCTACACATCAGCGCTTCCACCTGGAAGGTTCGAGTTCTGCATCAGGTGTTGAATTCCCTTCGGTGGTGGGCCTCCCCAGCAATGACAAGGGGCACCCAGTTCAAGGAACCAGTCAGGATTACCCTGACAACGGACGCCAGCCTCTTCGGCTGGGGAGCACACCTTCAGTCAGAATTGGCCAGTGGTCCCAGACAGACTTACAGAACAATATAAACTGGTTGGAGCTCAGGGCTATACATCTAGCCTTATGCCACTTCAACAGCAGGGTGGCAGGACAACATGTCCTAGTGCTCACAGACAATATTGCTGCAAAGGCTCATGTGAACAGATGGGGGAACCAGATCCAGGCCTCTCATGGAAGAGGCCCATTTGTTGGGGACTTGATCGGAGAACAATCTTTCTTCCATCAAAGCGGAACACATCTCTGGAGAGGTGAATCAGCAGGTGGACTCCTTGAGCAGGTCCACAGTGGACCATTCCGAGTGGCGCCTGGAACCTGACTTGATCAGGGAGATCGTGGACAGGTTTGGTCATCCTGCATTAGACCTCTTGCCTCTCCAACCAATTCCCAACTACCAAGGTTTTTTCCAGGTTCCCCTCTCGGGGAGCAGAAGGGACGGATGCCTTCCGCAGTCCCTGGCCCAGGGGGCTGTTGTACACCTTTCCTCCCCTTCCTTTGATTCTGGTGACAATCTGCAACATCCTGCATGAATGGGCGGAGGTCATCCTGATTGCCCCACATTGGCCAAGGCGTCCGTGGTTCGCTGACCTGGTGGAGCTTTCCATCTCTCACCCATGGAGGATTCCCTCAGGTTGTATCTGTCATGATTCTGTGCCAGCCTGTGTTCCCAACAGCTGAGTCTGGGAATCTGAGGAGGAGGTGGAGGAGGCATTTGAAGGGCCATCAGGGTCAGAGGGAGGCTCTGATGAATTACAAGACTCACGGTTTGATGAAGAGCCTGGGCCCTCCAGTCGTGTTCCTGATGAAGCTCAGCTGTGTGGGGAGAATGAGTCAGACTTAGAGGATTCACACCTGATGGACATGATGATTGATGCTCGTAGACACAGGCAATTAGCGAGAGCAGATCAGCAGCAGTCAATATGACAGCTCCAGAGTAGGAGGAGAATGCACTGAGAGACAATGCCTGGGACTGCTTTATAAAAAGGGAAGGTGTGGGCGGTGCTGGCTGCTGAAGGCAACCATTGCAAAGTATTTCATGGGATCATGTTCTGTTAGTCTTGCCGGAGACGACTTCTCTGCTTTGTATGGTTTCGTGTGGATAATTTCCTCCATTTGGATTGTGTTTGCTGCTTTTGTTTCTGGACTATTTGGCAGGTTGGTTACCCATATTAAAAAGGGTTTGTTTTCTTTTGAGTCTCCAGCCTATTTTCTCAGAAGGGGTTTTTGTCCTTGTGCCTTTAACAAGGACAGCCATAGGCTGGGATAGAACAGTATTGTCCTCAGCCAGAGAGTCCTTCAGCATCCGGATCCCCAGTGGCTCCAACTAACCGCTTGGCATTTGAGCAGCAGGCCTTGACCCGAAACTCATATTCATCGAGGGTGATAGCCATGATCCAACAATCCAGGCGCCCCTCCACGAATAGGACTTATGATGCCACATGGAGGAGTTTCTGTACCTGATGTTCAGGGCACAAAGTAGAACTCTCGGACATCACTCTTCCGATTGTTCTGGAATTCCTGTTGGATGGGTTGGACAAGGAGTTATTCCCAAACACCATCCACAGACAGGTTTCAGCCCTCTCCACAGTGATCCTGTGTGACAATTCCGCCCCCTTGGTGCAACACCCTACAGTATGTTCCTTCCTAAAAGGGGCAACTAACGCCAAGCCTCTGGCGGTCCGCCATTATCCCTCTTGGGACCTACCCCGGGTCTTACAGGCCCTCACCTCGCCACCCTTTGAGCCCATTACCACATGCTCCCTGAAACTGTTGTCTATGAAGGTGGCTTTCCTTGTAGCGGTCACGTGGGCCAGGCAAATTTCAGAGCTGGCCGCCCTCTCCGTCAGAGAGGACCTGTGCATTTTCCATGCAGACAGGGTGACCTTGTGTCTGGACCCTTCCTTTGTCCCCAAGATTAATTCCTTGTACCATAGGTCCCAGGAGGTGGTGCTTCCTAACTTCTGTCCTAATACGTCTCATGAACTAGAAAGACAATGGCATATTCTAGATGTTCACAGGGCCCTGTGGCATTACATCAAGCAGACTTCTGCCTTCCATAAATCCGAGGCACTGTTTGTTTCCTTTCAGCCCTCATCCATGGGTCAGAAGGTTTCCTCCTTGACTGTAGGCAGGTGGATTCGGGCTTGCATTGCCCAAGCATATCAGTCCCAATCGTTGACTGTTCCCGGTCGCATCACTGCCCATTCCATTCGCAGTGCGGCTACATCGGCAGCTTGGGCTACCCAGGCATCTATCGGGGAGATCTGCAGGGTGGCGACATGGTCCTCAGCTTCCTCGTTTGTCAAGCATTATAGAATTGACAAATTTGCCTCCTCGGATGCCTCGTTTGGACGGAGGGTATTACAGCAAGTGATATCTACCTGTGGGATTCAGGCCCAAACTGCTTCCCCCCCTTAGGGACAACAGAGCTTTGGTATGTCCCACTAGTGGATTCTCCATCCAATCATGCTGGAGAAGGGGCGTTGTCTTACCTGAATGCCTTTTCTCAGCATGATGATGGAGAATCCACACCTTCCCTTTTAGTATCTGTTTGGTCCTGTGTACAGTATAGGATGAGCACACACGTCGGACTAATGTCTGTGCCTCGCCTTCGTCGCAAACTGGGGTGCTGTTGCACAGCAGAGGAGTGGCAACTTTCCAGACTTAGTCTTATCAGAGCAGGAAGATTAAGACAACCCACTAGTGGATTCTCCATCATCATGCTGAGAAAAGGCATTCAGGTAAGACAATGCCACATCTCATAATGATTTAAAACAAACTAGACTTTCTTAGCAGCTTTAAATCCAGTGGGGATTATTATGGTTAAAAATAAACTATGTACAATACATACACAATAATATATCATTGTTTATTCTCTGGCTTCATGTTAAACTCTTAATTTTCTAACTAGGAATACCTTCAATGTTCTACGGCAGGGCTTTTCAAACTTTTCACAGATTATACCACTTTTAGGACATGACAATATTCGAGTACCACCAATGCTTAGCAAGGTGTCAAAAACTTGATGACTAAAAAAGGGGGGGATTTGGGGCTTTACTGGTTAGATTCATTTGTTGTTATAGAAATGGCTAGTTTATAATATGGAAAAGTAAAAAGTTGAGGTTTAATGTTAATGCTTCCTTTTACTGCAACAAAGGAAGTCAGAAGTCAATACCTTTTCCTTTTCCATTCTCCCCCTCACTTTTCCCTTTTTCTCTCACCCTTTGCTCCCAAAGCCCCCCTCTCTCACACACACTTTGCTCACAAAGGCCGCTAGCTCTCTGTCCCTCACTCACACTTTGCTCGCAAAAGCCCCTTGTGCGCTCTCACTCACACTTTGCTCGCAAGAGCCTCTCACTCTCTTGCTCTTTCATTCACTCACACTTTGCTCACAAAGGCCTCTCACTCTCTCACTCACACTTCGCTCATAAATAAGGTGACCAACTTTTTTACAATGAGAAGGACACAAATAAATTGAAGAAAAAAAATATTGTAAATAAAAGAAACATTTTATTCTATGCAACAATAATACAGAATACACTATAATATGATAAATGCATAATAAAAACATTTGTAACAATAACATTTTATATTGTAATTATGGTTACATGACTATTAATTATTTAAATGAGTACTTTTCCACTGAATGAATATTTTTTGTCAATGTATCATCTTCTAACAATATATTGAAAATATCTGAACAAGAAATATCCTTCATATTGAATTTTACGGCAAGTGCTGCAGCTAGAGTATCAAGCACATTCATTATGAATAAATAAAATTATTAAAACTGAAACAATAACATAAGCAAATAAACTTGTAAATAAAATTTTA